AAGGCAGAAGGAATGGATCCCTAGGATGTCCTCATACCCCTCAGTAACATCTCTGAGGCGACACCATGCTTTTGTTGCAAATACTCTGAGTTTCTCTGTTTTTGGTCTCTCAGTCTGTTCTGAATCTCTTCAAGGCTTATAGCGATATAATTGGAAAATTTAGTATGAGAGAATTACTTAAAGCTGTTTTGATCTTGCTGTAAGTTAATCACTTCTCTACACGAAGTACAGTTGTTTTTGCTTTCCCTCTGCAGTTTTTTGACATTTCCAGGCTCTTATGCACTAACTGAATCATAACAAATGTGCTGCCGAGTTAAGTTGCTCTGGCACTTACGGCTCATCGTGTGAATCGGCCCGATTTAAGACGCTCTTAGAAGTAGGATTCCATCTGGCTCTGTCCTTGCACCATGGACAGAAGGCAAGCAGGGGCTCTTGTTTTCCTTCGTGTTTTATCTTAAAGGCAGAACCGGTACTTTGGGCCAAGTTCATGGAATTAGTTCCAAAGAAAACACCAACAGACTCAATGCAGATAAGCGTGTTTACCTGACCCCTGCTCCAAGTTTTCAAACATCGTTTGGCAACTAAAAAAATGAAGTTATTTGTAGATATTAAGTTAGATAACATTTTTGGCCACAACACCTCTTCTTGATTTCTCAGCCCCAGTAAGTTTCCCATCCATTCATTCAGCAAACTCTTAGTGTCTTGTGCCAGCTTTGGGCGTGCAGTAGTGGGCAGGTGGGGCAAAGTCCCTGCTCTTCTGAGGCTGACTTTCTTTTTAAAAAATTTTCAGAGTGGGAGGAGGAGGGAGCAAGAGATTGAAACATCAATGATGAGAGAGAATCATTGATTGGTCACCTCCTGCAGGCCCCACACTGGGGATCAAACCTGCAACCGGGGCATTTGCCCCAAGTTGGGAATCAAACCGTGACCTGCTGGTTCACAGGACGGTGCTCAACCACTGAGCCAAATGGGGTGGGCAAGTGCTGTATTTTATTAAAAAAAAAAAAAAAATTTCGGAGAGGGAGAGAGAGATAGAAACCTCAATGATGAGAGAGAATCACTGATTGTCTGCCTCTTGCATGCCCCCACTGGGGATCAAGCCCACAACCCAGGCATGTGCTCTTGGCTGGAATCAAACCTGGGACCCTTCAGTCCACAGGCCGATGCTCTATCCACTGAGCCACACCGGCTAGGGCAAGTGCAGTATTTTTAGTACTTCACAAAAAATGTTGCTTCAAGCAGTGATCAGCTTGCGGCCCAGATGGGTTTATTTCTTCACTCCCAAGGTCACACTTAATGGTGTTCCTCCGAGAAAGTGGCTCAGCATACTTCCTTCACCCTGTTTGCTTCTGTGTCCATGAGGTCAGCAACGAGTGAGTCAGAAGAACCTACGTGAGTTAGAGTGTCTTCCTGCAAACGACTGGCAGTTGGCGTTGAACATAGGGTCTGGACATTTCACAGTCACAGCAGGTGGAAAAACACAGCTGGGCTCTGATGCCACGTCCGTTACCGACACTTCCCCAAATAGAGAGAAATTGGTGCGAGCGTTTTTCTTGTAACTATTTTTTAAAAATAGCTTTGCATTTTTTAGATCCATAAAAATCGCACCCGTGATGGGAAAAGGGGAGTTTGAGTAACTGATGAATAGACCTGTCTGCCTCCCAGAGAATACCAAGCAGAGGCTGAGGAGTGTTAACTGAGCTGACAGCTTTCTAGGTGCCAGAAAGGCCTCGAGTTCAGCCAGAGAAATGGAGATGAGAGATGGGCTGCAAGGTGCATGTGGGAGTCAGACTGTCCAGAAAGTGACTGAGTCACAGGAAGGTCCCCTCCCTGCTCCAGATTGTTGCCAATGCTCAGATTTTTTTTTTTTTTTTTTTTTTTAGAGCAGTAATGTGTGGGTTTTTGGAAGAAAATATGTTTTTTTAAAAATATATTTTATTGATTTTTAAGAGCGGAAGGAAGAGGGATAGAAAGCTAGAAACGTCGATGAGAGAGAAACATTGACTAGCTGCCTCCTGCACACCCCCCACTGGGGATGTGCCTGCAACCAAGGTACATGCCCTTGACCGGAATCGAACCCGGGACCCTTCAGTCCCCAGGCAGATGCTCTATCCACTGAGCCAAACCGGTTTCGGTGGAAAAAATATGTTTTTATTAATTTTAGAGAGAGAGAGAGGAAAGGAGAGTGAGAGAGAGAGAGAACCATCAATACAGAGAGAGAATCATGGATGGGCTGCCTTCTGCATGCCCCACACTGGGGATGAGCCCCAAACCTGGGCATGTGCCCTGAGCGGGAATTGAACCTGTGACCTGATTCATGGATCGACGGTCAACCGCGGGGCCACGCCGGCTGGGCTGTGGGCTTTTTAATGCAGGTATCCCCCTATGTCCATCCTTTCTAATTCTTTTTCTAACTGGATATTGTTGAAGTATTGCAATCCTTAGATAGCTAACACAGCACGGAGGTCTCATTCTGCTCATCCGGTTTTTCACCCCACCCAGCATCTTGCTGCGGCTGTATCCGGAAGGCCGCAGCCTCTTTCACTCTTGAACGCCGAGAACAAAAAGCCCTCAGTGAGCAGTGGCTGTGAGGGCCACTGTCAGATTTGAAATTTAGAGCCGGGTCAGAAACCGGGGGAGGAAGAGAAGAAAAGGGACAAATGGGTGCCCAGTGTCAGCAAGATGAAATCAGAGGCGAAACAGAGGGACCGGCTGCCAGCCCCTCCTCGTCTCTGTACAAGAAAACCCTAATCCGGGCACTTCTGCTAAAGTTAAGGTTCACACAGCTGAAGTGAGCCGTCGATTTCAATCAAGAAGGTCGGGAAACGCTAGGTGTGGCTCAGTGGGTAAGCGTCGATCTGTGAACCAGGAGGTCACAGTTCAATTCCTGGGCACATGCTCGATCCCCAGTGTGGGGCGTGCAGAAGGCAGCCGATCAGTGATTCTCTCTCATTGATATTTCTCTCTCTCCCTCTCCCTTCGTCTCGGAAATCAAAACCACGTGTGTCAGCCAGTGCTCTTGGTCATAAGCAACTGTGTCCACCTCTTGCCATCAAAGCAACGGACTTGATTGGCAGTGACCCCCAGCGTCGGAGGGCGGTGGCCAGACTTGGCTGATTAGGGACAAGGAGGTCGGGAGGGCCAGCGGGCGGGCGGAGAGACAGCTGTATTTCTAGTAGCTGCTGCTGCCGCTGGACAGCACTGTTGGCTCCAGCCTCAGAGTCCTGGGAGCAGCATCCAACTGGCCAAGCCGAGGCCATCCCAGGCTGGCCGCCGGCAGATGGGGAGCTGTTCACCTTGGCTCGGACGGTGGGAAAGATGGTTTCCCTGCTACCATGAGGGCGGGGGGCTGGCTTCCTCCACATGGCACTTCCGGTGCCCAGGCTAGAAAGGTGACTCGAATGGGTGGCAGGGGCAGAGGCCTGTGGCCGTGCGGCAGGAGAGGCTAATGGCACAGAAGGTTTTTCGCTTCCTTGAAGTCCACCTTAATCTGTTTCATATTTTGTCGCTTTGCTTTCGACGTCCTACACCAGAAGGCTTTGCCTGACCCAGGGGCAGGGAACGTCCGGCCCGTGGGTCATATCAGGCCCGAGAACTCATCTGGTTTGGCCCTGCCCAGGCCACCACAGGAGGGACCCAACACTCAATAAATCTAGAGCTGTTTTCCTAGCGACATAAACGTATAGTAAGTGGATTATTTTAAGCAAATGATGTTATAAACACCCAAATGGCCCTTGGCAGAGCAAAGGTTCCCCACCCCTGGCCTAGCACAGGGTCACGGACACATACTCCTTTAGAATCTTCTAGAAGTTCTCTAACTTCCGTCCTCATTTTGCATTGGCTTTTAACTCTTTTGGAGCAGCAGTAATGGATGTTCAATGGTGACTCGGGAAGAAAAAGTGAATAATGAAGATTTCCTTATTTTCTCAATCTGCACGGCATTTCCCAGGGGCCCACCCTCAACTTCTGAATTCTTTCCGTGTCTGTTCCCCTCTCACTGTGTTTGGCTATCGGGCACTGAAGTTACTGTGGCTCTCAACACATCTTGATTCATTGCTCACATGTGGTGCGCAGGGCAGCGACTCCTACGTAATCCCCGTAAGCTGTTCCTTTAATTATCTAATCAGAACGATAATGCTTAGCTGCTCATCTATTCACGGAATTATAAATGTTATAATAAATATACATTACAAGGTATTTTTATTTCACTGGACAAATGCACCTATACTGCCTGGAATCCTATTTTAGGAGTCACCAAACTTTTATATAGAAATTATTATAACAACATTAAAAAAAAATCTTACCCAGCCGGTGTAGCTCAGTGGTTGAGTGTCAACTTATGAAACAGGAGGTCAGGGTTTGAGTCCCGGTCAGGGCACATGCCTGGGTAGCAGGTTTGATCTCCAGTGTGGGGCATGTAGGAGAATCAATGATTCTCTCTCATTGATTCTCTCTCATCATGGATGTTTCTATATCTCCCTCTGCTTTCCTCTCTGAAGTCAAGAAAAATATACTTAAAGAAATACTTGTTGGTGTGGACTAATTGGAGCGAATTTTAACATGAAGTAACATGTGCTTGTTGTGTATCTGCCGGGAAGTTCTCAGGGCTCTGGTGAAAATGAATTCATATCTGGAGCTGTCGTGGTGCTGGACCTTTGGCCTGTTGACGTTGTAGAGCTTATTTTTCATACCATAGAGTCACACAAGAGGAAGGTGCCTGCCCACAGCAGTCACATGTATGAACTGTGAAGTTCGAACAGTGCTGTTGAACTTCAGTTTGCCCACCACGGCCAAAATGGTTCAATATTGGCAGAGCAATTCCCGCTGACTGCAATGAAGGGATGGGCAACCCATCACATAATACTGTTCTGTTGTTACCCTCTCCTCCCCACCCCCAACGCAGAACTGACTGATTTCGGCATTTTGAGCAAAGGCTCTCATTGTTATCTCAGTTTTATTTGTCCTGCAAATCCAATGTGCTCTTTTCCCGTTTCTCTAGAATGTTTCAGACGTTTAAAGACTGGTTTTGGTTGGAAAGATTCTGGCTCCCTCCGGCAATAAAGTGGTCAGACCTCGAGGACCACGATGGTCTTGTCTTCGTAAAACCCTCTCATCTGTACATGACCATCCCCTATGCCTTTGGCCTGCTGATTATCCGGCATTTCTTTGAAAGGTAAGTACTGCTTGTGTGTCTTCCCTTCCTGGTTCCAGCTGTATAATGAGAGTGTCCTGGTCAGATCCTTGAAGGATCTGCTGATCAGAGGTTGCTGCTGATGGGGTGCAGATTCTGGGGGGCCGTGCATGAAATCAGTGCACACCAACTGTTCCCTAGGAGCCGAACGAATAAAAGGAGAAACAAGTGCTTTAGTTGCACAGTGAGAAAATTGAGGCCGAGGGGTTAAGTATCACAGAGCCTGTCAGGGTCAATGACAGCGTGGGAACCTGGCTCACGTTTCCTGGGCCAGGTCTGTGACCAACGACATGCACCCCGGAGAGGCAGGGCTGGAGAGCTATGCTTAGAGGGTGCGTTAGCATTTCCAAATGCCTGCAACCTAGCAAACGTGACTCCTTAAAGAGCAAACCTCATTTTGCTTTACTCATCGTTTATTTTAAAGGGTTATTGAACGTTTCAATAGCCGCCCTTCTTTCCAAGGTATAAGGAAGTCAAAGAGAAAAGTAAAATTTGCTTTGTCAGGAAAAGCAAACTTCTTTTTTTTTCTTTTTTCTTAATTTAAACAGATACGACTTCCAGCCTTCTTATTAAAACTGCACCAGTGTCAGGATAACGGGAGATAAATGTCCATCTGTAATCTCTGTAGCTGTCTCTGTTTCAAAAACCTGTTATTAGCACATTATTTTTTTGGAGCAAAAAGAATATTTGAATGTCAGGAGTTGGAAAAACTTGAGACGAAATCTGATAAAGATCATTCTGTCCAAGACTAACCGTAATGCGGATCATATGTGCATAACCATCTGCAGGGGCCTTATCTCGAGAGTTAGCTTGACCGGCTCTGTTTCATGGACTGCCTGCCCCACAGGTTTCTGTACAAATAGCATCTTCACGTGGGCCCACCACGTGCTTGCCATTGGGAGGCATGGAGAGCCCCTGACGCCACGAAACCCTAGCAGAGAACATGTGCAAATGTGTCTCCTTTTTGACAGTGGGTTCTGCTTTTTCCTCAGGGAATGCATATTAATAAAGAAGGGTTCCCCCCTGCCTACCGCGTTAGCCAGTTGCTCCTCCCTGGCCTTCAGCATCGCTTTGCTTGCCTCGCACGCCTGGCGCTCTCTGCATCAGGCACCCAGGTCCTTTGCTCATTCGCATTGCACTTTTCCCACCTTTTTTGGGTGGACAGCTCCATTTTCTAGCTTTTGATCGGGACAGAGAGCTAGGAACTTCTGCTGGTTGCCAAAGCAGCGCAGCTGGGGAGGACCAACTTGTTCGCCTTGGTCTTGGCCTCGCCAACAACAATTAGGAGGGAATCCAATCCTCTGTTAATTCCCACGACCGTTCCTGATGCCTCTCAGGGGACTGAGTCAGGTCAGCATCGCCTTTATAACTTGAGCCTGGCAGGCTGAAGGGTCCAAGTTCAATTCTGGTCAAGGGTACATACCTTGGTTGCAGGCTTGGTCCCAAGCCCTGGCCGGGGACTGTGTGGGAGGCAACCAACTGATGTGTCTCTCTCACATCGATGTTTCTCTCTCTGTCTTTCCCCATCCCTTTCACTCTCTCTAAACAGCAGTAGAAAAATAGCCTCAGGTGAGGATTAACAACAAAAAGAAATTAATGTAAATGTGACACTGCGTTTCAGCTTCAGCATATCTTATGTTTATCGCGAGAAGGCTTCCTCCTGTTGTCCTAGGAATTGTGACCAGGCTGTGGTTTGGCTGCTCGCTTTAGCTGCAGGGCTAGCTAGGAGCCTCCTTTCAGGCTGTAGGGAGCCAAGTGCAGACATATCTGGTAAAGGACAGGCAAGTCCCTCGTTTGAAAGTGACCGACATTTGCTTTGTATTTTAGGATTTCCTTTCCTTACAAATGTTAGTTTGTGGCTTATGGCTGATTTCGTGTGTGTGTGTGTGTGTGTGTGTGTGTGTGTGTGTCTAGAATTGCAGTTTCTAACCAGCGTATCCAGGCACTCTGCATTTATGTGTCTCAAGTGTGATTTAAAGGGATCTGAGCTACTCAAATTTAAACACTTGTGGAATAAACACATTATCTCAGAGTAAATTAAGTTCCCAGAATAGTCCACAGCAGGGGTGGAGCGGGAAAACCAGAAGGTCATCATTTTTCTTTCCTTAGTTGTGCAGTGAGTAGATTCCCCATCTTTATCACTCTCCTCGGCAGCACAGGGCTCAGTGGACAGCAGGTCCATCATTCCTTAAGGAAGGGTGCGTGCAGCAATCTACAGGAGTTCAGGAAGGCTTGCTAGTCCGGCCGGTGTGGCTCAGTGGTTAAGCATCTACCTATGAACCAGAAGGTCAGGGTTTGATTCCTGTCAGGGCACAGGCCTGGGTTGTGGGCTCGATCCCCAGCAGGGGGCGTGCAGAAAGCAGCCAAATCCATTATTCTCTCTCATCATTGATGTTTCTATCTTTCGCTCTCCTTTCCTCTCTGAAATCAATAAAAACATATATTATTTTTTAAAAAGATTACTGTCCTCATTGAAACGGTCTCCAAATTTGCACCTTAGACTTAAGTGTTATTTCGATTGCATTCCTGCAGGCATTCTGTTTTCTGCCATAAAACCTTCTGACCAGACTCTGGTCCAGAGCCTTCAAATCCTCCAGAGCAAGGCAGCAGCCCCATGCAGCGGGCTATTGTTCCTGGGTAGGAGACGCATTTAAACCTCACCTGCTTAACCTCCGCCGAGGCCTGCCTGCCTTTTGTTCAGTAAAATAGTATTGAAAAGGGGGCCTCTGGGATTGCAAGGCTTTTGGCTCACAGGTGACCCAGGCCGTGCCAGGTGAAGAGGGGGCGGTTGGGGTGTCCGCCTGTGGCCGGGTGAAGGCTCGGCTCTGCAATAGTAGCGAACCTAAGAGATCCTCTCCTGTAATTAATAAACCATGCTCTGAGCCATTTACATGGGAGCAGAAGTCCACGTGTTTTTTTTTTTTTTTTCCCCCTCTTGGGCTTTTTTCGACTCCATATCAATAAAATGCAAGTTCAGGCGAGCCTGGACATGTTAAAAAAAAACACAAGGCTGTATTTCTCTTGTTTAAATTAATAATAGATATGTTTCTCGTATCACCAAGCATGCTATGGATGTGTGTTTATCCACTGTGTATACTTATCCACATACTTACTCTCACATGACCCTTCTGAGGGAATGTTACCCTCATCTGGCTCTGAGATTGGCTGTGTTCCCTCACCACATAAGCCTTCTTGGCTCGGCTCTGCTTTGCTTTCTCATTTCTTTCTGATTTCTTCATTTCTAACATCCGAGGAGATAGCACTGAGTGATTCTGATGGAGAACACTACCGTAGTAAACCGCTTTGTATCTGTGTTGTCCTAGTAAAAACAATGAGTTTGTTCTCCAGTAACAGTTCTCCACTAGTAGGTCGGCTAAATAAACCCATCCCACTATTTATCCAAAACCCTGTCAGATACATTTTTGAGACTCTGTTAGTTTTAAGAACACATTCGTTTTTGTTTCATTTGGACCTATTGTGCCAATAATTAACCACATTTCCCTAATCACAGCATGCTGTCTTTTGTCTGTGTTAAGTAAGACATCTTTTAATTGATTGATTGATTGATTGATTGATTGGAATTAACTTTTCCACTAATTACCTTTCATCCTTGGTTCCTAGTCCCATTCCCCTCCCTGCTGGGTTCTCTTGTTTTTTAAGGCTTTTTGTTTGTATGACCCCATGAAACATGTGCATACCCATCAGTGGTACGTATTGTTAGCTGACACGTGGTACGCGGTGAGACCGTGTTCTGCTGCTCCTTTTCCTGAGCATGGCGCTGTGGGGTATGACCTGTGCACATGGCTCCGTGTGCGTCGCTAGTTTGTTTTCCCACGGCCCTGACATGCACGGGCCCTTTCCAGGAGCACTCAGTCCATCTGGAAATTGGACTGGTTCGTACATTTTATCAGATTATCCTAGGAAATTTTTACTCAGCTCCTATGGTTGTAAAAAAATGAATTGAAGGGCTAAGTGGTCATTCATAACTAAATTCTCCAGCATTTAATCAAACACAGAAACCCCTCATTAAGGATAAGAATAGATCGACCTGGCTGAAGGTGGAGCCTTTGTTAGGCCTGAAGGAAGAATTGGGATCTAGTCTTATTTTTAAAAATGTAGTTTTATTGAGATACGATTTATGAAATAAAGTTCATCCAAAATTGGATGCATTTTGACAAATGTATACAGTCATGTAACCATCACCACAATTATGACAGGAGATTTTTATCAGCCGAAAAACTTCCCAGTGTCCCCATTCAGTTAGCCTCTCCCCTAAACTGGTGTCATTGTGGCTTCAGTATCAGATTTTGAACTGTCTTTCATTTTTTTTTTTTCTTTCAGATTTATCGCCACACCTCTAGCAAAGGCTGTGGGTATCAAAGAGGAAGTTCGGAAGATTATACCGAACACTGTCTTAGAGACTTTTTACAGACGCTCTACGAGAAATCCATCTGAGGTAAGTTCATGATCTTGGACATCCAAGGTCATGCAGCTGAGTGACCTTCGCTGAAACTGTAGCGGGAACCTGGCCCCCGCCCCCTCTCCACACTGTTCCCGTTATGCCCACGCGCCTTCTTCACCTGTGAACAGAAGATTGAAAATGTGTTTCAGCGGCTGGAACACCTGGAGTCATTGTTCTAACTCAGTTCACACGCAGCGTGGACATTTGCGTCACCCTCAAACCAAGAAGAAAGATGAAAGAAAATAATGAAGATCTCTAACTTACATCGCTTGTAGATTATGAAATTGAGACAATATTTGTAAAGCAGATCATGACAACACGTTGTCCAAAAAATGCCCATCCATTAAAAATGCTGGCACTTGGGAAGACAGAATATAATAGAGGAAGGCAAAGTACACGACTTCCTAGTGGTTTCAGATGTGGAAACAAAATAATCTCATAATACCTCCCATAGTAACTTGGCTGGTGTCATGCCATCAGCGTCTTGTCTGTATTCTGTCTTACACAAAGCCATAAATTTGGCTGAGGTAAGACAAGTTGCTGGGAGAACTAAAAAAATAATAAAATAAAATAAAATTGCTGCCTCGAGATCCGGGTCTCACCTCTAACGACGTATTCCAAAGCTGTAACGGCAGAAACTGCAGTGGCGACACATGGAAAACACATGACTCCTTGCACAGTTGAGTGCGTGGTGCTGAGGGTGCCCCTCCAGCTGTCCTCCGCGGCCTCTGTAGAAACAGAAGTACCCAGAGTGCACAGCGCCGGCTCCGGCTGGCTAGCACAGGAGGGTATATAACGCGGGATTGATGAGGCCCAGACGCTGTGCACATCCGCTTCCCAGGAGGGTTCTGAGCTATGACTTCGCACCATTCTTTCGGGCCTGTGTATGTGCAGCTGCGAGGCCATTATTTACACACACGTTTACGTCTCTCTATATATATCTCAATAATAACTTCAAGATGTATTGGGAGTGAGCCCTGGTCGCAGCCCAGCGGCCCTGGCCAACGGATCAGTTATTCTGCTATTGATACAGTGGAGTAAAGGCAGCACGTGGGGATTAGCCCCTTCCCCGGGCGAAGCCGCAGTGAGAGCCGACGCAGAGAGAACAAGTGGGTCGCTCCGGAGGCGCTCCGGCGAGTACGTGGCCCCGGGAGACGGACAGAAAGCCACACGCTGACGTTCATGAAGGCTCCAGCCACAGATTCAGACTTTGCAGGGCAAAGCGCTCTCTCGGTCCCTGATGTCACAGGCGAGCACGTGAGAGCCATCGAGGTGAGGCCATCTTCTGCTCCTCCGGGGGTTGGCTTGTCCTCCCCTCACCCAGCCTCTCCTCCGGCCACGCTGCTTCTCCCCGAGGCTCCCCTGGTGTCCGAGCTAAATACACAGGCTGTGCGGACAGACTGCCGCCCACACTTCTGATCTGCTGCAGGCCGGGTGGAGCTGGGCAGATGAACCACGCTGTGCCTCAGTTTCCCCCTCTGTGAACTGAACATGATAACATCGCTGCTCTCACAGGGCTCTCCTGAGGATTGGATTAAGTTATTTTTTATGTGATTTTTTAAAAATTGATTTTAAAGAGAGAGGAAGGGAGAGGGAGTTGAAAGGAAGAAAGATCAATGATAAAAGAGAATCATTGATCAGCTGCCTCCTGCACGCCCCCTACTGGGGATGGAGCCCACAACCCAGGCATATGCCCTGACAGGGAATCGAATCGCCATCTTTTGGTTCCTGGGTCGGTGCTTAACCATTGATCCCCACCAGCCGGGCAGTATTTCTTGTACTCGCATTGGAAAATGAAAGATCAAGAAAGCTAGTGCTAAAAAAAAAAAAAAGAAAAAGAAAAGAAAAGAAAAGAAAGGAAAAAAAAAGACAAGAGCTCATTTCCCTGTGGAAGTGAGAGGAGTGTGCCTTTAACACGCAGCCTGTGTGGAGAAAATGCAGCTCTGCCATGGACCCGTCCGCTCAGCCATTCCTGTGTCCTGCGTGGCCTGTGAGAGCCGATCCTGTGACCTTGGAGCTAACCCATTATCCACACCATTTCCAGTTTTCATTCAGAGCCTGCAGCTTCTGCTCTCCGGGAGAGGAGCAGTCAGCATTTTTATGTTGTGCAAGCATGACTCTGAGGATTGGAATTCTCTCAGGTCAGTTTGCATTAGGCTCTCCATCTGACTCGGTGTGAGCGAGACAGCCAGCACCTGTGTGAGCTGCTCCCGTGGTGTCTGCGGGAGCTGTCGGAGCACGCGAAGGTCCAGAAGATGCAGCAGCCCACGTTCTAGTCCTCGCGTGGCTACTGGCCTTCCATCTTGTGCATTTACTGAACTCTCAGGGTTTCCATGCCGATTGGTTTGATCGGCATGTTAAGCTGCTCCTCTGCCTGGTCCCGGGACGCCCGACATAACATGGAGCTGAATGAATGAGCTTGCTATGCAGCCTGAACATACGTGTTGCTACAATCTTATGGAGAATTGATGTCTCTTTGGAACTGAAGAGTTCTGGGATACTAACATTCTCTGTGGTTTTGGGGGCCATGGTGTGTGAGTGTGTGTGTGTGTGTGTGTGTGTGTGTGTGTGTGTGATCCATAAACAAAAGAGGTAAATTCTCTGGCTCCAGTTGGAATGCTGAGTCCCTCTCCCCTCCAGTGCACCAGCTCTCGTAATCCAGTCACACTGCTTCTTGACTGCCTGCCAGCCTGACTCTGCTCTTCATCACTCACTCACCGTCTCATCCCTCTCAGGACGATGTTTACGGCCTGGCGAAGAAGTGCAACCTGACTGAGCGCCAGGTGGAAAGATGGTTTCGGAGCCGGCGGAACCAGGACAGGCCTTGCAGGATGAAAAAATTCCAGGAGGCTTGGTAAGAAGGACAGTCCCGGCTTTTGAAGTGCTACAATTTTTTTTAAAAAAATATATTTTTTATTGATTTCAAAGAGGAAGGCAGAGAGAGAGAAAGAGAGAGTGAGAGCGAGAGCGAGAGAGAGAGAGAGAGAGAGAGATATCAATGATGAGAGAGAATCATTGATCAGCTGCCTCCTGCACGTCCCTTATAAGGGATCAAGCCCGCAACCCAGGCACGTGCCCTGACTGGGAATCAAACCGCGACCTCCTGGTTCATAGGTCAATGCTCAACCACTGAATCAGGGTCTAAAGACCCCTGCGTTACAGTTGGGTTGTGTCTTTTAAGTCTCTTAATGTATAGGTCTTTCTCCATCCTCGACAAAAAGATAATTGTTCGAAATATGCTTTTCCAAGGCAAGACTAAAAAGTTGGGCCACATGGAAACCTCGTCACTGGGAACTAAATGGGGATAAGATAAATGATTTGATAATACATCAAACCATCATTTATTGTGTCTTGGGAAGTACACTAAGCAAATAATAATAATAATAAAAATAATAATAATAATATGCCCAAACCGGTTTGGCTCAGTGGATAGAGCGTCAGCCTGCAGACTGAAGGGTCCGGGGTTCAATTCCCGTTAAGGCCATGTATCTTGGTTGCAGGCACATCCCCAGTAGGGGGCATGTAAGAGGCAGCTGATCGATGACTCTCTCTCATCGATGTTTCTAACTCTCTATCCCTCTTCCTCTCTGTAAAAAAAAATCAATAATAATAATAATAATAATAAACAACTGCCACTTATTGTTGCTTACTTCCTACTGGACACTATGATCTGTATTTTTCATAAATTATTTTCAGCTCTTTTTCCGTTTTGAGGCAAGTTTTGTTTCCGTTTTACAAGTGAAGAAGGTAGGCTCCCTGCGGCTAAAACTGAGCTAACGTGCGTCCGTCCGCGTGGCAGTCTCTCAGTACCGTAGATGGACCTGCCTGCAGCATGCTCGGGCTTTCTGCCGCACCGCACCGGGGGTGTTTCCCCTCCGGCGCCCACCTCCCTTACCGGACTCTCCTTTCTCTTGGCAGCTGGCGATTTGCATTCTACTTGATGATCACTGTGGCTGGAATTGCATTTCTTTATGATGTAAGTTGTCTTTTTGATATTTTTGACTGGAACTTGTCTTTAATCTTTAAAATCCCTGCCCTTGACTCCCTGAGGATCTAGTGCTTTCCAGGAGATAGAAGCTCATAGCCCTCCCACCCTCCGAGGCCTGGGGAGTGGCCTTCCCAGGCTGTCTCCCAGCGCCTCCATTAAACTGTGCATCTGCCAAGTTCCTCCTTACCCCAGTCTCTCCCTGTGTCCACTTAGGCAACTCATGCACCTCCCCTAAGCTGGATTCCTGACAATCCCAGAACAGGCCTGGTACATCCCCGTTGGGGATTTTAGCACATTTTCCCCCACCGCCAGGAATGTCCTGCCCCTCCTATTTCTCTCTACCTATCCAATCCAACCAGCATCATAGCAAATGCCACTTGTCCCATGAAGACTTTCCTTACTTGTCTATCAAAAACTAAATCTCTCCTTACCATCTACACGAATAAAAAAGAAAGATGCAAATTGACTGTACCTTAACAATGCCCACCAGCCAATCAGGAGTGACTATGCAAATTAACCCAACAAAGATGGCGGGTTAATTTATATACACAATTGCCGAGAGGCTGGGGGCATTTCATGTTGCTGCAGAGTGAAGGCGGTGCTGGCAGCCAGGGGAAGGAAGGCCCATTCTTGCATGAATCTTCGTGCATCAGACCTCTAGTTATGTAAATAATCACTAAGTGATTATAAACTTAATGGTACATTGTTCACAGACAATAAAAGACAGCCAGCTTTTAGAGACTGCTCTCAGTTTCTCTTCAGATACTTTATTGCTCCAGATTATCTGATTGCTACAGAAGCAGTCATAGATTTGGTTCGAAAATCAGTTTGTTAGAAGAGGCATTCGTTTGAAATTATTTGCTCCGGAGGGAGAGACATGCAGCGGGATGCACAAACGCATCTTTCTGCATGTGCCTGCCCCTGTCAGTACCATCAAGAAGAGCTTGCATTTTCTGCTGAAGCTAGCCTTTGATTCTGACAAACTTTTTCCCCCCAGAAACCTTGGGTGTATGACCTCGGGGAAGTGTGGAATGGCTATCCCAGACAGGTAAGGACCTCTGATGTAGCCCCCACTGCTTCAGCCCTCAGACCCCAATACTGTCCCCCCGAGTTAGGTCTGCGCCCCTGCCTGTCCTGCTCTGTCCTCGTATGCAGGCCTTTTTCTCCTTCTCTGTTGGAACCGACTCGTCCTCACTTACCCATCACGTGTCTCATCCTGTTAGTCTGTGTACAGCTCATTCTGTGTTTGAGTTTAATTTACCGCCTTGCTATTTTTATCTTCTATTTGTACCACCTTATGCATTTCCCTTTTTAAAAAAATTATTTTCTTTTCTTAAATTTTTATGGGACAGTCAAGTTTTAAAAAGTTATTATTCACTTCTTCCCTTATATAGCTTTTCATTTATGCATACTTTATTATTTTAATAATTATCCTAGAATTACCATATACATCCTTGAATTATTAGGATTAACACAGATTTGGGTTCCTGGGGGATGTTATATCAATAAGTATAAAATGAGTTACATGGCATTAAAGCGAATACTCTCATTTTTCTCAGCCCTTGCTGCCATCCCAGTACTGGTACTACATCCTGGAAATGAGTTTTTATTGTTCTCTCTTATTTAGCCTGGGCTCCGATGTGAAGAGGAAGGTAAGTGTCTCACTTACAAAGTTACTTTATTCATTATTTTTCCAAAGCTTTTATCCCCTACCCCAAATCTCAACCTTTAAATTGTATTTTATATGTGTTAAGTTCTAGTTCATAGTTTCGTGGGTTGTTTTTGTTTCTTTGTTTTTTGCTTTTTATAGCACATAGAATAATGCAAATTATATTCATACTTGTGTGCCTAGGTATTTGTAGTGGAACATTATATAAACACAGAGGCCCAGTGTGTGAAATTCATGCACTCGGGCGGAGGTTCCTGTGCCCTCTTTCAGTCCCAGAGCCCTCAGGGGATGTTCGAATAATGGGTATCCTTAACACTGGTAGTCAGTGCGCATCAATAGCAACCAGTCGTTCTAGTGTTGATTTGTATATTAGCCTTTTATTATATAGGATTAACACTGAAACTAATTGAGTCATTTTCTCAAGATATGGAATTGAAAAAAATCATTTTAGATACACACACACACACACACACACATACACACACACGTATACTTACATCAGTTAGGTTGATCCTGTAATGATTCTGTCTTTTTTGATTTCTTAAGGCAATAAAACCTTTGATTTTCTTTCAGTAGTTGATTTTTCTTTATCATGTACAGGTGCATCGAGTCTTTTAAAAAAAAATTAAGTGTAGATATATGTCACATGTTTATAAACACATATCTTCGGAGACATAAAACAGTTAGGAGTTGGATAAAGCACAGACTCTGGGGTCAGATTGCTTGGGTTTGAATCCCTCGTTTGACTCTCACTAACCTCTTGAGCTAGATGGTTAAACTCCCCAACCTTGATCTCCTTGTCTATAGCACGGAGTGGAACAGAGTTCCTGTCTGCTCCGGTTGCTGTGGGGATTAAGCAAGTTAAACCACATGAAGCACTTCCTGGTATACAGTAAGTGCTCAATAAATTAGGCTATTATCATCATCATGCTTAGTCTCTTACTTTGGGCACAAGGAAACTGAAATCTTTTAAGTTTTTTTTTTTTTTAAAGCACTCTTTTGAAATAGTCACATACCATACAATTCACCCATCTAAAGCGCATAATTCGGTGGTTTTGAGTCTAGTCACAGACTTCTGCCGTCGTCACCACAGTCAAATCTGAGAGCTTTTCATCACCTCAGAAATGAATGGCTCAGGCGGTCAGTTCCCATTTCTTTTAACTCCCTTAGCCCCGGGCAACCACTCGTCTGCTTCTTGTCTCCATGGATTTGTCTCTTCTGGACATTTCATATTAATGGAGTCACACAATGTATTCTTTTCATATCTGGCCTCTTTTCCTTAGCACAGTCTTTGCAAAGTTTATTCCTGTTGTAGCACGTGTCAGTATTCCATTTCTTTCTTTTTTAAATAGTCCTTGTATGGATATCCACTTACCAGCTGATGGCTATTTGGGCTGTTTCCACCTTTTGGGCTATTATGAACAAAGCTGCCATGAACATTCAGATACAGAAGTTTGCAAGGACATGTGTTTTTATTTCTCTCGGGTACATACCTCAGAGTGGAATTGCTGGGCTCTACGTTAATTCTATGGTTAACCTTTTAGGGAACTGCCCCACTACTCAACAAAGCAGCCACCACTAACAGCAATTTGCAAGGGTTGCCATTTCTCCACATTCTTGCCAAGACTTATTGTTTATCTTTTTTGTTATAGCGATCCTGGTGGGTGTGAAGTAGGTAGTATCTCTCTCCTGTGGCCTTAATTTGCATTTTCCTGACGGTTAACGAGGTCGAGCGTATTTTCAAGGACTTATTGGCCACTGGTACATCATCGCTGCAGAGAACCTTTGTGTTTTTATGCTCAATTGTGGCACCTTTTTAAGCCTGGATTGGCTAGGTTATCCCACTTTGATTTGTTATCTCTTTTGGATACAACACCTCTTATTTCATTGGTTGTGTAGTGTTTCTTATAAGTCTGTTTCCCTTTTGGGAATTAGACACGGAATAAACAACACATGTAAATGTACACAGGAATATGGTGTGTGTGTGTGTGTGTGTGTGTGTGTGTACACATATACCCAGTGTGGGGCTGCGGGAGTAACAGCAGACTCCAGGACTTAGAGGACAGATTCCAGGAAATCTCTCACAGTTAAGTGACTTTATCAGTGAGGGCAATTCTTGTCCTATTTCCCTCACAAGGATTATATTTAGAATTAAAGTGAAAGCATTTTATACATTTTATTAATTTATAAATATATTTTATTGATTTTTTCACAGAGAGGAAGGGAGAGAGATAGAGAGCTAGAAATGTCGATGAGAGAGAAACATCGCCCAGCTGCCTCCTGCACACCCCCCACCGGGGATGTGCCCACAACCCAGGTACATGCCCTTGACCGGAATCGAACCCGGGACCTTTCAGTCCGCAGACCGACACTCTACCGCTGAGCCAAACCGGTTTCGGCCATTTTATACATTTTAAAACATGCAAATGTTATTAGTTTTTAAATTCTCCTCCTCCTCCTCCTCCTCCTTCTCATCATCATCATCATTTCTTCCAGTGTTGGGAACTAATTGCACTTCCTTAATGGCTTCCACTTCCCCCCATCCTGCTGCAGGATTTCCTCGCTCACGTCATCCACCACCTGGCTGCGCTCAGCTTGATGAGCTTCTCCTGGTGCGCTAACTACATCCGCAGCGGGACCCTGGTGATGATTGTGCACGACGTGGCCGACATCTGGCTGGAGGTAAATGCTTGCCATCACACACGATATCACAGGGTGTCCCGGGCTGCAGGGCCCTCACGGCAAGCAGTGTGTGTGAGCGGGGGTCCAGCAGGGCCGTGAGCCCTGAAAACAGCCACAGCCCACAGCTGACTCTGGTCCCATAGCCTTCAAGCTCAGAGAAACAAAACTTTTGTTTTTACTTTTACAATATATTTCTGTTGATGTCAGAGAGGAAGGGAGAGAGAAAGAGAGAAACATTAATGATGAGAAAGAATCATAGATTGGCTGCCTCCTATACACCCCCCGCTGGGGATGGAGCCCACAACCCTGGCACATGCCCTGACTGGGAATCAATCCCCAGCCCTGGTTGGGGCGTGTGTGGGAGGCAGCCAATCAGTGTGTCTTGCTCACATCGATGTTTCTCTCTCTCTGTCTCTCCTCCATCTTCCAGTCTCTCTAAAAAAAAAAAAAAAAAAATTAATAGAAAAAATATCCTCGGGTGAGGATTAAAAAAGACACCCTACATATAATACCGCAAATCTTGTTTCATCCGTTTCCCCACTCGCACTCCACCTTTCCCCCGATTGTTTGGAAGCAAATCCCAGACACTGTATCATTTATAAATGTTTAATTTTAGAAATGTGTACTCATATTTTATCTGAACACCATTTTTTCCTTTGTTTTCAGTCTGCCAAGATGTTTTCTTATGCTGGATGGAAGCAAACTTGCAATACCCTGTTCTTCATCTTCTCCGCCATATTCTTCATCAGCCGCCTCGTTATCTTCCCCTTCTGGTGAGTGGCCGGCGCCCAGGTGGCCTGGCACATGGGTCAGGTCGGAGCATTGGCCTGCCTTTCCTTGATCTCCAGTTCTTTGTGCCAAGTTCAGTGGGAGAAAGACCATGAAGGGGCCCTTTTCACATATAATCAAAGCAGTGCCGCACAGCTGGTGTAGCTCAGTGGTTGAGCTTCGGCCCATGAACCAGGAGGTCTCGGATCGATTCCCAACCAGGGCACATGCCTGGGTTGCAGGCTCAATCCCCAGTGTGGGGTATGCAGGAGGCAGCGATCCATGATTCTCTCTCATCATAGATGTTTCTCTCTCTCTCCCTCTCTAAAATGAAAAAAATATACACACAGATACACACACACACATATATAAACACACACACACACACACACACACTTATATTTATATCACACTGCCACCTGCCACTGTGGAAGAGGTAACAGGGGAGAGAGAAACTGCTCCAGCGGGTAGCTGCCCCTCCCCCCTCACTGTCCGTGACTGTGGCTCTTCCTTGTGATGAACAGCTTTTCCAGTTATTCCAGGGAATGCCCTTGGCCGGCTCTTTAAAGGAGAGGCATGTTCTGTGTCAAAATTATAGTGATTATAACCGCCAGCCCCTGAGTTAGGCCCTCTGTCTGTCTTGGCACTAGTCTGCACAGCAAACCCGATGGCTGTTATGGCTCCCGGCTCACGGGTGAGGAAAGTGATACCCTTTCCACTCTCCACCGCCCCTGGTCCCCACCGTGGTCCGCGTGTCCTTTCCATGCTGATTGGCTCTTGATCCAGGGGCTGGCAGTGGAGAACCCGTGTCTTCCCTGACAGCCATCCCTCTGGCAAAAAGCTCCGTGCTCCATGTGTGGGTTGACAGAAACCAGGAGAAAACTGGGAGGCCATCTTTGATGGTTTGGAAGGAACAGTTTGTCACCAGACAGAGTTTGGGGCTAGCTTAGGAGTCTCAGATCCTCTCAGCAGAAAACCTAGGGCTACTGAAGTTCTGGCGTTCCAGTGGCCAGAGCCAGAGACCAAGGTAAGGCCAGAGTCCTGGTGGAGGGACTATACCCTTGACTAACATCCAGGGAAGTCTGGGCAGAGAGGACAGGGCGCTGCCCTCCCTTGGGGAGCAGCTGCATTCTTTTTATTTTTCATCTTTAATTGATTTCAGAGAGAGGGAGAGAGAGAGAGAAACATCAATGATGAGAGAGAATCTTTGATCAACTGCCTCCTGCACGCCCCTTACTGGGATCACGCCCACCACCCGGGCATGTGCCTTCACCCAGAATCAAACCGAGACCTCCCGCTGGGCACATCTGCATTCTTTAAACCAGGACTGCATGTCTTGATTAGACATTTTCTGGCCAGGAGAGGCAGAGTGCAGCAGTTAAGTACATGGATGCAAGTCAGTCCTGAGTTCAAACCCTGGCTCTGTACTTACTGCCTGTGTGATCGTGAATAGGTCCGATCATTTATCTGCACCTCAGTGTTGTCATCTGTGAAATGGAAATAAGGGTCGTCATGAGGCTTAGCTAAAGTAACACATACAAAATCGTTTTGAACAGTGTCTGTGACAGTATCAGTAAACGCCAGCTATTGTTACTAAAATGATTAATGAGTCTTGTAGACTTTGGAGTTTAATCTGGAATCCAATCTGAGATCCAGGCTTGTTCTCCTCTTCATGGTTGATGGATCACATTACTGCCACTTTGCTTTGGCTGAGCAAGTGTGCTTGTGAAATCAGAAGATCGCACGATAGTCATTAATGATGGGATGGATATTGTTGAGGATAACAGTTGTGGCTTTTCAGGGTGAGTTGCATGGTACTCTGTGTCCAGGGTTTGCCCATCACTGACTCCTGTTATGGTCCCCATGTCCCCACTATCTGCACCCTCATAGCAAACCTGCTGAAAATGTAGTGGCTTACGACAGCGGTGAGCACACTTCTGTGAAGGGCCGTGGAATAACGATTTTAAGCCTCTGAGGGCCACATATGGTCTCTGCTGCATACTTTTCTCCGTATTGTTTCATTTCTTTTAAAATGTGCCAAACCCAGCTTAGCTCACAGGCTGTAGATAATGGGTCGCAAGCCAGATTTTGCCCACAGTTCATAGTTTGCAGACCTCACTCTTAAAAGTACAACGTTTATTGATTATTATTATCGCTATGGTTCTGGGAATTGACTGGCCTCAGCCGCGTGGTTTGCATTCATGTGGTTTCAGGCAGATGGCGGCTGGAAAGTCAGCTGAGGTTTTCTTGAAGGCTCCCTTACCCACATGGTGGAGGTAACACATGCAAGACGTGGCTGAGGCTGATGGTTGGTTAGGGCTGCAGCTGGGCTGTCAGATGGGGGAGCTACACATGGCCCCTCCGTTGGCCTGACCTCCTCATAACTCAGGAGCGACGGAGGCAGTCCAGCCGGCGTAGCTCAGTGGCTGAGCGTTGACCCATGAGCCAGGAGATTGCGGTTCAATTCCCTGTCAGGACACATGCCCAGGCTGCAGGCTCCATCCCCTGTGAGGGGCGTGCACGAGGCAGCCGGTCCATGATTCTCTCTCACCGTTTAAGTTTCTATCTCTCTCCCTCCCCTTTCCTCTCTGAAATCAATAAGAACATATTTTTAAAAGTAAAGAGAAGGAGAATTGGGCTCCATTTCTCGATGGGAGCAGTGTCAGAGAATCTGTGGATGTATTTCGAAAGCAAGCCCCAGGGAACACGTCGGCCGGGAGCTCCTTGGGGGCCTCTGGTGTTGTGCTGTGGCTGGCTTGTGCTTTAGCAACGAAAGACGCTCCCTCACACTTTCCCATGAAGCCACAGACCCACACACACGCTTCCTCCCGCCCGGGAAACAGCTGGGCTTGCGTGACTGTGGAGGTGGTGCGCTGCTTTCCCACACATGCCTGACTTTAAAAAATCCCACGTCTGAGAACTCATTCCCATGCCTGCGTTTCTGCATCTCAAAAATTAGTCACATGCATCTGGCATGGTCTTGACCTTGACTCTCCAGTGAGGTAAGAGCAGCCCATAGCACCGTTTGCTGTCTTCGGGGAGTTAGAGATGGCAAGTCAACCAGTCTTAACAGACTTGACCGTGAACATTTCTTCCGCTGGTAAGAATGTTCCTGTGCTGCTGCCGACCGATGCACATTGTCTGGAGTGAAGGAAACCTATTGTAAGTCTGGGAGCTGGGTTTTCAAGGCTTTTGGAAAGACTCCATTGCCATGCCTTGTTCTCTAGCTTAAGTAGCTTCCCCCAAACCTGTCACACCATCCATCACCTTGTGACAGCAGAGAGGAAAAGCGAGACCCTATTGTTGCCTGTTTCAAGAATCTATCCCTGAGCACGCTCCTTTGCAAGGCTGGTTGAGGAGTCCAGGTCGGTGGGGTCTCCACCGAGCAAACCACGTGCAGAGGAGAGGCGGTTTGGGGGTTCAGACGTTTCAGAGCTGCAGTGGGAGCCGTGTGCAGCCCCGTCGCTCTAGTCTTCCCAAACGCCTTTGCTGCACCCGTGGGGGTGAGATTGAAGGTTGCTCAGGGAGAAAGCAGATCCATCTGAAACCTTTCTGGAAGCTTCGCGGGGAAGGACTGGCGCTTGCACATTACACCTGTCTCCCTTCCTTTGGCTTTTCCTGGATTTCCCAGCCCAAAGCACACGTGCGTTCCCTGGGGATTTCCTCTGGCACCTGCACCCGCTGTTCTCGCTTCCCCTCTCCTGCTCCTCTCCGGTTTTACTCCGCTGCCTCTCAGCCACCGGCAGCCCGAGTGAGAGGCACGGGCTTTCTAAACACTGTTACTCTCAACCTCAGGCAGAAACTCCAACTGGCATTGTCCAAATGGCTTTCATCGAATTGCCTGGTTACCCTAATTGGTTTGCATGTTTATTCAGAAGTGTTTAAATTTCAGGCTTGTGTTTTGTTTTGTTTTTAAATACATGTTTTTATTGATTTTAGAGAAGACAGGAGAGGGAGAGAGCCACAGAAGCATCAATGATGAGAGAAAATCATGGATCGGCTGCCTTCTGCACACCCCACACTGGGATGGAGCCTGCAATTTGGGCCTGTGCCCTGAACGGGAATTGAACCGTGACCTCCTGGTTCATGGGTTGATGCTTAGCTATGGAGCCACACCAGTCAGGCTAAAGACTATTACTACTGACCTTAAAAAGAATTTTTCCCCCCACGAAAACAAAATCATCTCCAACTGTGAATAATACCCAGATCCTTAGCTCCAAGGGTAGATATGCTTGTGGAACTTTGTTTTCCACCACTGGTCCGCTGGCCATCATTCAGGTGGTCGCCTGAGGGTGGTGAGAACATGGAAGTACTTGGAATGGCGACCAGAGAGAGGCCAGTTTAAGGAAAGAAAAGACTGACTGATGTGCGTCACAAGGTGCTGAGTGAATGACAAGTCGGGCAGAGCCGGCTCTCGGCTGGGGTCGGCTCCCAGGACCCTGCCGGGGCTCAGGGCCTGGCCTGGCCACCAGGGGAAGGAGGGACCCGTGCAGGGTGAGAAGGCTCCCCAGCCGCCGCCGCAGATGCGCATCTCAGAACCAGACTTTCCAGTCCGCCCCTCGGGCAGGAACAGTGCGTGGCCTCGCAGTGCTCCTCCCCGACCCCCACCCGCTGCCGAGTGTACCTTTAAGAGGGCGGCACAGCCTCTTCTTCCTGTCAGAGCATCTCAGGGGATGGGCCTCAGCCACTCCAGCCCTTCTCCTTCCTTCCTTCACTGCTTTAGAAATAACGCCAGCTTCCTGACAATCCCATCTATTCTAGGAACTCTCCCTGTGCCCTTCACCCCGATTCACTGGTTCGTGCTGGTCCCCTTTGCTCTGTCATTCCTTCTCTCTTCTCTCTCTCAACACACACACGGTGTCCAGGAGCCTGTGTATGAAACCCGGAAGCACGCGGTTCCCTTAGAAAGAGGGTGGAGCCATAGAATTGTTGCTTCTTTCAGAGCCTCTTTTATCCGGAAAACTGACTTTTGTAGGATTCCCCCTTCACCTTTGATGCCACATAACGAGGCTGTGTTGTTAGGTAGCAATAACCCCAGATATCCACACATGACCTTGTTTGTTCTCCAGATCTGAGAGGGGGAGTGGGGTCAGTGCATGCTCTTCTGTTTGCAGAGAGGAAACTGAGGCCCCAGAGCATCGGGGCGCAGGCTGGCGGCCATAAACATTCCCCCAGCTCTACCTTTCCTCCCAGGAGGCAGACCGCTTGCCAATAATGACATAAAAGGCGGTGCTGTCATACGGTTGTGTGCTGAGCAGTTCCTGGACATGGTTAGGGATGAAATGAGTGCTGTATGCTTGGGAGGAAAAACAAGCTGTTCTCTCGCTGAGACTGCCCAAGTACTCGGACCGGAACGAAGCGCTCTCGCCTGCTTGGTTTTCCAGGATCTTGTATTGCACGCTGGTGATCCCGATGCTTTACCTGGAGCCGTTCTTCTCCTACATCTTCCTCAACCTGCAGCTCATGGTCCTGCAGGTCCTGCACCTGTACTGGGGCTACTTCATCCTGAAGATGCTCAAGAGATGCATTTTCACGAAGGTCAGTGCCGTCCGCGTCTTGTTATTCTCTTTTTTTAAAAATATACGTTTCTATTGATTTCATTTTTTAGTATTTTAAAAGTGTATTTCGGAGAGGAAAAAAGAGAGAGAGAGACATCGATGAGAGAGAGAATCACAAAGGTGCTTTTAAGAAATAGCTTTTCTTAGAGGACAAGTTAATTTCAAGAGATTTTTATCTAAAGCTTGATTGCTGCTTTTTAAAAAATGTCCCAATGAGTCTAGATTTGCTCCAAGTTGAGACGAGCTTTATGGTGACAGTTGAACAATATTTTAGAGCATCTGATTTGCATATAATGTACTCCCCCGAGTTTTCTCCAACTCTCTGAAATACTGCATATCATTTGGCAATCATTTTTTCCTGAAAACATCTGTTTTCCTAAACAACACAACGATAGGACAGTTCAGACAATAGAATATGGTTTTGTTTTGAGCTCAGCTCTGGATGTTAACTTCAGAACAGGGAGGAGCGGGCCTCAGCCATGAGCAAGTCAGCATCTGGGGCATAGTTACCTGTGGCAACTATCTGTGTCCATAGGAAGTGCTTCATGGACTAGGCGGGACTGGACTTGGCCTTGGAGGCAAGTTAAACAAAATCAGATCACAGCTCCCCTTGGTGTGTGTAAACCATACATCTGAGGCTCGAAAGGCTCTTTCCCGGAGAAAGGTGGGCCCTCCGTGTCTGACAGCACCGCATCCTCATCAGAAAGAGTGCCCTGCAGGCCGTGGAGATGCTGGCCACCTGTCTGATGAGCTCACGCTCCCCTCTGATCAACTCCGCTTCCCGCCGGAGGAAGTGCCTGGGCCTCGGGGACCCCCGAGGAGCAGACAGTTACGTGGCCATTGCGATAACTGACCTTCCGCCATGTCTTACCTTCTCCATCTAGACAGAGGGGTGGGAAATCAGGCAACATCTGCATGTTTCCCACACCCAATTCTGAAAGCTGTGTTTTTTTAAAAATCTAAATTACTGACCTGAGCTTGTTTTCCTGAGAGTAGATTCTCCATTAAGGTTGGAGTGCCAAGAAAACATTTCATTGACTGGTTCTAGTCTATTAATATTCTAAAGAGTTCTCCTGTCCTCTGCCAGAGCTGCTTTATCTCCAAGTGACTGATAACGTTGAAGTGACTGAGATAAGGATACACTGAGCTGCTAGACAGCAGCGAGGCCCAGGGTTGGAGGGTGGGAAGGAGACCGGGCTGAACCGCCTTGGCTGTGGGTTAGGCCCCCCGGAGCTCTGTCCCTGGGCAGGGACTGTCCATTCCCTGGTGTGGGTCAGCAACCACAGGCCCGGAGGGAGCCTGCAGGACAGAACTCGAAGCCGGGAGAGATTCTTGTTTGGTTTCATCGTGATTGTCATCTGTCTCGTCTCGGATGGGTCGTACCAGGCCTGAGTAAAAGCTCAGCGGGCCGGGGGCTGTGGACAGGAAGTGCTGGTTCCCGTGCTGCGCTGTGGAAAAGCTGCTTCCAATTGCGAGCTGACAGCGGCGGCGGCGGAGGCCCCCAGCCCCTCGCCGCGGTTCCGATGACTTCAGCTGGCGAGCATGTGCACTCCGCTCTCCGCGGTGGCAAGCCTGGCTGCGAAACCGGCCTGTTCCTCCAGAGCCCTGGGCCGCCTGTGAAAGCAGGCTGCTTCAGGCAGTGCGTTCATGGCACAGGGGGAGGGGACAGGACCGTGTGGGGAGGGGACAGGGCCCTGGGGAGGGGACAGGGCCCTGGGGAGGGGACAGAGCCCTGGGGAGGGGACAGAGCCCTGGGGAGGGGACAGAGCCCTGGGGAGGGGACAGGGCCCTGGGGAGGGGACAGATCCCTGGGGAGGGGACAGATCTCTGGGGAGGGGACAGAGGTGACAGTTGACATTCTTAGAGCAACAACAGCAAACAAGTCGGTTTTGAACAATAGTCCATAAATGTTGAGTATGTAACACAACCTAGTTGTTACTAAAGTGACAAATCCTTCCATATTTAATACATGGGATTGCAGAAGATTGTAGGCCTCCAAAAATTTCTCTTAAATCGTATAACAGAGAGTGAGAATTTGTCCCTTTAAGTCTCTTCTGCCTGGTAGGCCCTTCATAAGTACTTTTGAATATGCAAATGTATACATAACTGGGGAGCAAACCATGCTGTTTGGGTAGAAAGTTAGAGAATAATTTATGAATCTTTTTACAGTCTCCATGAGTTTGCATGGTAGACTGCAAAAGACAAAAGTGGTTATACTTCTTTCTTTTAAAAATATATTTCATTGATATAGAGAGAAAGGGAGAGGGAGAGTTAGAAACATCAATGGGAGAGAAGCATCAACCAGCTGCCTCCTGCACTCCCCCCACTGGGGATGTACCCGCAACCAAGGTACATGCCCCTGACCGAAATCAAACCTGGAACCCTTCAGTCCGCAGGCTGAAAGTCTATCCACTGAGCCAAACCGGTTTCTGCTCTTTATACCTCTTAATAGTGATTTTTGAAATAGTCATACTTTGTTTTTCCTGAACAATTGGGTCATTGCATGCATACCATGAATGAGGACCTACCATCTGCTTCTGTGGTCACAAGCCTTATAAGAGCATCGGCGCTATAATCTCGGGACCCTGACATATGCCGAGCGTGGGGAGCAGGCATCTGGCTGCTCGAGACCAAGACTTGGCTCTGAACCCTCGCAGGGTCCCGTCCGGTGGTGACGTGGTGATGTGGTGACGCGCTGCCAGCCCGCACACCACCGGGAAGCGTGGCGAGCCCGGGGGCTCCCCTGTCATTCCCCCACAAACAGGGCAAGTGCTGTCGGAGAGTTAAAGGGGCTCAGCCTGCTTTCGTTACCGTCCCTAGGACTTGGTCCCTCAGCTTTGCTTTTCTCCCTGGTAAACAGCGTGCTGGGTGCAGGCCAACTCGAGCGTGTCTCTGCGACATCTTAGCCTGGTGCACGGCCAAGACGCGAGGGAGGAGCCGTAAAGGCGGGGGGTGGGGGGGGGTGGGGGGGGGAGAGGCCGGCCCGTTGGCAGCCTGCCCCGCATCTGCTCTCGCCAGGCAGTGCGCCCCGAGTTCACAGAGTGACACGTGACACAGGCCACACCGCTGGCGTGAGGGAGAGGAGCCCTCACAGCCGCGAAGAAAGCGAGGCTGCAGCAAGGTCACAGTCACTGACGCGCAGCCGTGCCCGGGCCGAGTCCCTGCACTCGCAATGCTCCGCCTTTTCTAGTCACTCTTCACGCAAACGCCTAGTCTTTGTTTACATTGATGTCAGAGAGGGAGGGAGAGGGAGAGAGAGAGAGAAACGTCGATGAGAGAGAAACATCAATCGCTGCCTCCTGTACACCCCAACCAGGGACCGAGCCCAAACCCCAGGCATGTGCTCTGACTGGGAATCAAACCAGCGGCCTCTTGGTGTGAGGGTTGCTGCCCAACCACTGAGCCACACCAGCCAAGCTCAAACACTTCCTCATTTGAAATAACTAGAAAATGAATGTAAGATGTTTGTATGAAGTGAATAATAGTGAGTACATAAATACATGGACCGATCAAGATCACAAATTAAAATGCAGTGACAAACTAACTTATTTTGGGACTTTTTAAAAGCATAAGAAGACGTTTTATAATAATTTTTTTTTAATCCCAAGTAACTTCCTGCCCAGCAAGCAGGGCACTAGCTGAGAGCACAGGCTCCTGTACCTTCAGATCTCAGCTCTCCCACCCCCTGGCTGTGATCTAGTCCTTGCCTCAGTTTCCTCCCCTGTGACATGGGGGTGAGGGGATTGGGACCTGGCCCACAGGAAGCACGTGGTAAGTGCTAGCTGTCAGCAGCAGCAGCAGCACTCTTGACGCCCGTTCTTTGTGCCAAATCACAGAGCGCAGCCGGTGAGCTCCACCGAGCTGGGCAGCTGGCTCCCCGCCCAGGTGCCGCTGCAGCGATGTCAGGTGTCAGGTGAAGAAGGAGATTTTAGGGCAGAAAACACATCCCCTTCAGGGTTTCATGCCTGTGGCTGTGAGGTTACAGATCGCACATACACGACACATTTGGATGTAACGTGGGATTTTGTTACTATTAACTGCCTCACAGTTTCCACTTTACATTACCCAAGATGCTGTCATGCGCAGCCGCCTACATGTCCATCACACAAGCGCTCGGTCCCAGGAAGTCCTTTCTGAACCTGATCCGCCATCTCGGGCCGGGGCCCTCCATCCTGCCGGACCCACACCCCGGCAGGAGCCTGAAATTAAATTCCTGGGTCCTATGACTCACCTCTAGCCGTCATCTCAGAAAGCAGTACAATGCCACAGCCATAATGAAAAAGAAATGAGATGGAAGACATTTCCGATCAATATGCATTTCACGTGTAACACGTGTGTGTGGCTTCGCTCAGCTGTAGTCGATAGGTGCCATCTGCTTGTGTGTGGACCGACTGTGAGCGGGGCAGCTGTGCCCACAGCCGGCACCGGGGCTGCGCCGGGCACTCGGGCGGCACGGGGAGTCTTGCCGCTGGTGGCATGCTTTTCTAAAACTGTGAAGTTCTGAACAAAAAGGAGCACAGTCTTCCTTTGACTTATGGGCATCGCCGCATTCCTGGAAAATGGAGAATACATTGAAACCAGGCAGCAATGGCTGCGCCTGAGTGACGGCGGCGTTAGGCTCCGGGCTCAGGTCACCGTAACCAGGGCTCCACCTGCACGCAGGCCCCGCAGCCCATCTGGGCAGCATGCACCCCGGGGGTGCGGCGTGCCAGCCCTGCCCCCTCAGTGTCAGGGCACTCCCCACCCTTCGTGACTATGGGACCCACAGCGTACCCAAGTTCTCGCGTGGCGCCAGGGCCCTGCACCATGCGAGAACTTGCGTGTTTGCTCGTTTGGATGCGGGTTTCCTCTGACGGGGGCCACGGTTCTGACCTGGGCCCACTCATTCATTCATTCATTCATTCATTCATTCCAGCCGGGCTGGCCAGCTGTCACTCACAGTCCGTTCTCTGCTTTGTCCAGAACATCCAGGACGTGAGGAGCGATGACGAGGACGAGGAGCAGGAAGAAGCGGGAGAGGAGGAGGACGAGGGGGAGGAAGAGGCGGCCAGAGACAAGGAGAGAGACTGTCTGCAGAACGGACTCGGGCCCGACCGGAGCCTCCTTCCCAACGGCCACCACGGCCGTTAGCGGACGCCCGCGTGGGTCCGCGGGCCGGCGCGGCCGGGGCCGCAGAAGCCAGGCCGCCCTCCTTCCTGCCGCCAGGACCCACAGGGACCCCAGGTCCGCCCTCCCTCCTCCCAGCGCCCCTTCAGATGTATTTAAGACAAGCGTTGTCGGGTTGTGTTAAATGTTCAATATACGCGTTCCCGTGGGTGTGCCGCAGGCAGGACCAGACCGGCCGGGCACTCCCAAGGTTCTCCAGGGGCCGTTCTTGGAGATGGTGGCACTTCAGGCGTCCCCTGTGCTCTGCCCGCCTTGCCCATCCCGAGCGAGGGCAGCAGTGCTGTTCGCCCACTTCCTCCCCTGGGCTCGGCCACAGAGAGCTCCTTGCCCAGAGCCACTGAGAGGTGACAGGATAGGGGCTTGTTTTAAACCTCCCAAGCCTGCCGCTCGCCTGTCCAAGGGGAAGAATACTGTCCCTCCTACCTCACAGGCTCGGAGGAAGGATCCAACCAGAGAAGGCAACTCGAGGGTTATTGTCCCTGAACCTCGTCCCCTGAGACCCCCGCTCCCTTTGGGGGGAGAACCAGGCTAAGCCGGGCATTGCATGGGCCTGAAGGATAGGCACTGACTTAAAACGTTCTTCCGGAAATGCAAACGCCCAGAGGCCCTTTCCATCCTACCCTGACACTATTTATTTGTTAACTTCCCCAGGGGAGTTTGGGTCCCATTCCATCTTTTTGCCTTGTGCTGGCCTGGCCGCCTTTTCTTCTCAGAGCTACCCAGCAGGCCCTGGGACCGGTCAGGTTGCTCCCTGAGCCACCATCCCCGGGAAACCGGAGCCTCTGGGCACCGTGTGCGTGTGAGCCAGTGGCCCAGAGGAAATCTTAGACCCAGCGGGAGGGTGCTACCCATTCATCTCCCCTGCCACCAGCCAGACTGCCAAAGAGCAGAGCAGAGCCAGCGGCAGCCTGGCCGCCGCCCAGCCGCCCGGGCGCTGGTGCTCGCACAGCGACAGCTCCCGGGCCACCTGCGTCTCTGGGAGGATGGAGGGGCCGGGGCTCCGGGGCTCGGTCCCCGCGGGGAGGGGGGGGGGCACGTCTCCTGAGCCCAGCATGCAGGGCAGGCCCCGGGCGCCTTAGGCGTCTGCTGGCCGAGGAGAGGCCACTCCCGGCAGAAGGAAAAAGCGGGCACCATGTGCACCCCTCCCCGCCCTCTCTCTCTCAGACGCTTTGGTCACACTGTGCACCTTCGTCTCATTTCACTCAGGGCCCGTATTTAAGCCAAGGGACAGCTAGGACCGTGGGCACCGTTCACGCGTCCACACAGGCCCCGCCGGCTGGGCTGCGGCCCCGGAGCAGGACGGCCCTGTGCGCAGGACAGGTACCTGACCTTGTGTTTTACTTCACAGATGTTGGTGTCTTTTTGTTGTTGTTGTTGTTGTCTTTTTTTTTTTTTTTTAATTTTAGTTCTTTTAAACTAAAGAGATGTTTTTAAAACCTTCCGGTTAAACCGAAACCCACACCATTCTGAATTCTTCCCCCGATGGAGCCTCCTTTTGAGAACGCACTAGGACGGTGGGAAAGCAGGTGGCACGCGTCCTCTGCACAGCCCTGCCGGCCACTGCGAGTCCAGTGCGTTGTCCCCATGACGTTGTGCTATACCCCAGAGTGCCCGCGCTCCGAAGGGCACCGCGGTGGGACTGTTATTGCCATTACCTCATTGCTGTTCTGGTGGAAGGAGCGCATGCTGAGGTAGCGTTTTCCAATGTTTTCGTTCGGCGGAGTATCTGTTCTTTGACTTAACTGCGGTGTTGTCTCTGTACCCCGTATCTTCTCGCTTACGGTAAAGAATTGTCTATTGGCTGCTCTGCCCTCCAGTTCTCTCTGTTCTTGTCGGAATGGCGAAGGTGGTATCCATGCGCCAGTCTCTGCCACCTCTGGTGGCCGGGGCCCTCGCCTGCCTCTCGGGTAGGTACGCCGTGGGGCGTGCGCGTGGCTGATTCCCTCCGGGAAACGGGGGCTCAGGCTGTGCCCAGTGATGTCGTAAAAGTGCAGCCGCCGCTGTGCCCCAATGTGACTGTCGTGGGAGTGATTGACAGCGCAGCCAAGACGGGGCCGGCACACCGGGATGAGTACATTCGGCGCACATGCTGCCCGGCTTCTTACAGCTGTGACTGGTCTCACCTGGTGTGGAACCACCTGCCGGTCCTCCAGGCTCGAGAGACACCCTGCCAGGAAGCAGGGGCCACAGAGCCGCGTTAGCACAGTGGGGCTGCTGGCCGTGGGTACGGGCACCAACAAGAGGGGACAGACAGACAGTGCAGACAGACAGACACCTACAAGCTGGGACTCACAAGTCCTGGCAGCAGGGCCCTGAGGCAGAGGCACTCTGAGGGGCTCGGGCGGGCACCCGCCCTGGGGGTGTTTTCTCACCGGTCCGTCAGGGATGGAGGGAAACCGGGTCCATCAGCATCCCTGTGACCTACCGCGCCTCGCCTGGTGCCCCCTGCATGTTTCAATCCAATGCTTTGCGGTGAGACACAGAAATCTTCATGTCAGCACGTCTGGGTGCTTCCGGGGAGCCCCACTCACTCCTTTCCCACCAGCAGGTTCACACGCTGAATAGATGGGGACGTGCCCTGATGCAGGCTAGTGAACCCCAGATCCGTCACACAGACAAAGCAGACATCGGGCAGATAACGGGAGAATGCAAGCTGGCGCCTTTCTCAGATGGCGGGTGCTGTTTGACCTCAGCCTTTCCTTTTGCCTAAAAACCTTTCATACCAGAAACACCTTCAAAAGAGCCCGTACCCTCACTGCGTCCATATATCGAAAGGTGTGAGTAAAATGCATACGTTCCTAGAAAAATACCACTTGTCAAAACGGGCACACGAGGAAATAGCTACCGAAATTGTCGTCTGGATAAGACAAAATTAAACCTGAAATTATGAAATTCACACACAGCCCCACAAAAACAGTCCGTAGGCCCCGATGGGAATTCTTGCAATATTTAAGCAAGAATTTGCACAAGCGTCACGCCGACTTTTCCAGAGACCAAGGGAAGGAACACATCCACACTTGTTTTATAAGACCAGCACAATCTGGACACTAAAATCTGACAAGAGTACTAGGAAAAAAACCAAACACGAACCATCAAAGGCTGTCATTCCTGAACATGGGCACCAAATCCCTGAACCAAAGCTGATCAGTGACTCTCTCACATCCCGGATGTTTCTACCCCTCCCCCTCCCTTCCTCTCTGAACGCAATAAAAAATATCGTAAAAAACAAAAATAAACACATGAAGGGGCCCTTCGCCCAGTGGCCAAACTCCTGGTCCTTTCGAATAAAACCTTCCACCAGGGGGCCCTCAAGCTCCGGTGAAGGAGAAGAGGGGTCCTGGCCGGCGTGGCTCAGTGGTCGAGCAGCGACCTACGAACCAGGAGGTCACGGTTTGATTCCCAGTCGGGGCATATGTCTGGGTTTTGGGCTGGATCCCCAGTAGGGGGCGTGCAGGAGGCAGCCAATCCATGATTCTCTCCCATCATGGATGTTTTTATTTCTAACTCTCTCCCTTCCTCTCTGAAATCAATAAAAATATAGAGAGAGAGAGAAAAAAAGAAAAGAGAGAAAAATAAAATTAAAAAGCTCAAAACCCTGGGACAGTTGAGTAAGCCAAGTCAAATTATGGGCTTTGGGTCCAGGAGGCACGTCCAAGAACACAGCGGTCAGTGTGGCCACTCTGATTGGGGCTTCTCGGGAGCACATCTGGCCTGTGGCCACTATGGGGGGGGGGTCTGTGGGCTCCTGCGGGGGCCGGCTCAGCCTCCCAGCACCACGGCGGCCCCTGACCGCGGGGCACACAGCCCAGGCCTGGGAGTCAGGGTGTGTGTGATAGAGAGGGACTGCAAGCACACACGGGACCAAGAGGGAGGGAGAACAGCAGAGAGAGAGAGAGAGAGAGAGAGAGAGAGAGAGAGAGAGAGAGAGAGAGGGGTGGGCTGGGGTGTGGATGAGCCAGCAGGTGTCTGAGCAGAGTGGGCAGAGGTCCCCTCTCCCTTCTCCTTCCCAGGCTCCTCCTAACTCTCCCACCACCCCTCCCTCTGCTCGGCCCCTCCATCCCTACCAGCCTCCACCTCCTCCCCGACTCACCCTCCCCCCGCACTTTGACACCCCTCCCCCACTTCTCAGGGTGGTACGTGACCACAGCTGGCTGTGCGGCGGCCCCTCCCACCTGCCCATCTGAAGACGCCCATGTGCCTCCTCTGGCCGCCCGCCCGCCCGCCCGTTTGACCTCTGCTTTGGTTCCCGGGATCTTGTTTTATCGTCATGAAATGTTTCCAGGCTGAAGAGGGTGGGACCTGCCCATGCCTCCCAGAGCAAGCTGCCAGCACCAGCCCAGTTCACCGCCTGCCCCCTCCTGCCTCCCTCACCCCCCACCTCTTCCCGCTCCCCTGCACCCCGCAGGCCACCCCAATAGCCACAGGACTTGAGCTTCCGGTGCTCAGGACCACGAGAAGCCAACAGGGCGAGCCAGGCAGGGGGGTGGTGGAGGGGTGAGCAAATGGAGGGGTGCAGGCAGAGCCCCCCTTCCTCCCCACACCCACACGCTGGGGCGTGGGATGGGCTGGGACCCTGGGGAAGGGTGCCGGGCCGCCCAGCCTCCTCCCTGGCCTGTCTCAGGACACGGAGGAAGAGGGAGGCGAGGGTTCCAGACTCCACACCGGGCTGGGGGGCCGTGGCTCTGAGCAGGGCCTGGGCATCCGTCTCGCCCTCAGGCTCACAAGTGCAGGCTTGTGAAACCCTAGCGCCTGACCCAAATCCCACGACCCACCCCACCTGCAGCGGGCCCCGAGGGGTCCCCGGGGAGAAATAAAGCGAGGAAACCGTGAAATCAGGTCCAACGGAAAAAAAGAGAGAGAAAGAGAGAGGGAGGGCTGGATTCCTCCCTTGTGTTCTTGGCAGCCACTTCCAGAAGGCTCCGGGGAGGGGGAATTTGATAACCAGGCAGCTACACCCTTAGATAGCCCGGGTCTGGCCCTTAGCCAGGGGCACGTTTGCAGCGGAACGGGAGAAGTCATTCGTACAAAACGCATTTTGTGTGTCAGCCAGCGCTCAGTGTCTGTCCCCTTAGGTTTCTTCCTCCCTCCGGCTTTCTCTCGCACTCCTTCCTGACCTCCCCCAGGGATGGGGTCTTAGACCGGACCCCATCACACAGCCTGGTGCCCTCACCGGCCCCCCGGAACCCACTTTATTCTCTTCGGTGATTTTCCTCTTAACCCCTCGCCTTCCACTCCCCGAGAGAGGGAGGCCGTCTATATGTTCAACGTATGTTTCCCTGGTCCACTTTCTGCTTCGAAATACAGTGTCGTTTTGTGCTTTCATTACATAAACACAGTGCCCCGTGATAATTCACATTTTCAACCCAATGCTGCCTCCCGCCACAGCTTCGGGGAGAGCTCGTGCACATGCCCGGTCTGGAGGGCACCGCCGGGTAAGCTTTGACGCGGGCACGCGCGCTACGCAATCGCAGCGGTCAGCACCTTCCCCAGCAGCAGCCTCCTGTCCCTCGGCCATCCCTTCAGCTGTGAATAGTGTGAGCGGTCATGGCTGAGTTTTTTTAAAAAAATGCAGATTTATTGATTTCGGAGAGAGGAAGGGGAAGGGGGGGGGGAGGGAGGGAGGCAGAGAAGGAGAGAGAGAGAGAGAGAGAGAGAGAGAGAAACATCAATCACTCGACCAGTTTGAGCCACCACCATCGGCATTTCCGAAAATCAAATGAAGGATCCAAGAAAGGCACGTGACCGACCTGCTGGTGTCTGTGCCAGCAGCGTGATGGGAAAGCTCCCCGCCCGCCACGAGAGAGTTGTTCACAAAACGCAGGTGGACGGGTGGATACGCCACGGCCATGAGGAGCTGTTTGGACCCAGAGCCAACCAAGGCCGGCGGCCTCGCACGTCACACTCAGGCCTCTGCTGCCACCTGTAGGGCTTCGGTGGCCTTGCGTGTCTTGTGTTCGTCTCCCCCTGACCCCTGACTCTCCCATCTGTACAATGGGTTTAAGCCACGCCCTTCCAAAAAATTAAGACAAGGCTATTTGTGTGTGTGAACATGAAATGAGATTATGGTAACTAGTGATTTTTTTTTTTTTTTTTTTTAGAAAATATGATTTTATTGAGACCCAGAATTCGTGCACAGGTGGGGTCTGCCTGGTCCACCCCAATTGGGGCCAATCGGGCCAGGCCGGCTGGCAGAAGGGGCCTTGGGTGGTTGGCTGGCGGGCCCCGCCCCCTGGTCAAACTCCTGGAGGTACTCCTAATCAAGGGGAGAATTTGCATATTAGCCTTTTATTATATAGGATTGCTTTTAGAGAGGAAGGGAGAGGGAGAGGTAGAAACACCAATGATGAGAGAGCATCATCCATCGGCTACCTCCTGCAAGTCCCCTACTGGGGATCGAGCCTGCAACCAACCGGGGCATGTGCCAAGACAGGGAATGGAACTGTGACCTCATTGGTTGATGCTCAACCGCCACGCTGGGTGCAACTTGATAACAAAAAAAAAAGTTTTGTCAACTAGTCTTGGATGCCTCTCCATTGTGATTATAAACCCCAAATTACTCCATTTTCGTTTATTGATGCCCGGTGTTCTGTTAGCCGTGCATCTGATGATGGACATACAGGTTTTTGCAGTTTATGTGTGCTGTGGTGACCATTCTTGTCCTTGTGTCATTGTTTCTCTACGGCAGGTAACCAGATGGGAATTACCGAGTTGCTGGGTGCATGCATTTAAAATTTTACTGCTGATTGTTCGGCTACTCTTTATAGTGGCTGCGCCAGGTTACACTCCTAGCCATGGGCACAAGAGTGTCCTTTCCAATTTCCTTTTCTTTTTTTAATACATTTTATTGATTTTTTTTTTTTTTTTTAAGGAAGGAATGGAGAGGGAGAGTTAGAAACATTGATGAGAGAGAAACATCCATCAGCTGCCTCCTGCACACCTCCTACTGGGGATGTGTCCACAACCAAGGTACATGCCCTTGACCGGAATCGAATCCGGGACCCTTCAGTCTGCAGGCCAAAGCTCTATCTACTGAGCCACACCAGTAAAGGCTGCTCTCCAATTTCTGATGTTTCCCAGCTCTTTAGTTTTGCACAGACTAGTTGCTGTCTAGTTGCTGCTTTAGTCTGCCTGCGTCTGTTAGGTTGACAGTGACTCCTTCAGGCTGACTTCAGAGAAATAAGTAACGGTTCTCCTGGCTGTCCGCGGCAGGCCTTTGAGTGGCTCTTTGGCCAACAAAAGCTGCACCAAAGAGGTCTCCATGATGCTTCTCCCTCTGTAAGAGGGTGTGACCATACCTGTTCCGCTGGCTTCTGTGAGGACAAAGACAGCAGGCGGTGGGAAGGGTCTGGAGAAATCCTGCTATGTTGGAGTAGCCAGCAGTCAGGTGCAGACAGAGGTGTGTGTGCAAGCAAGTGCCCAGCGGCAATCATCCAAGATGCAGCGAGAATGCTCTTTTAGGGATGATGTGGTTGGCCAGGACGTGTGCAGCAGGGGGCGGCAAATCAGGGGATTTCAAACATGAGAAAGTCTCAAGATGAGACTTCCCCCCGATGGTGGTCCCTCAAGGTGTCCCCTCTTGGGTCCTCCAGGGTCGCGCGCCACCTGGCGCCCGGTCCCCGCCACTGCCCAGAAACCACGTGTAAGAAAAGCGCTTACAACCTAACAACACACCCTGGTTTTCACCCGCCCTGGCCAATGGGCGAGGGGGAGGCGGGGCGGGGGAAAGCCGGCGCCCAATCGCCGCCGCCTCTGCGGGGAGGGGGCGGGGCCTCGGCGCTCACCACGTTGGGTTTGTCCGCAGCGCTAATTACTTTTTCCAAGAGAGGCCGGAGGAGGGCTTCTCCACTCCGGCTGGCGCCGCCGCCGCCGCCGCCTCGCGCGCCCCTGCTCCGCCGCCATCCACCCGGGGGGCCGCTCCTCCCCGGTACCATGTGTGACGGCGCCCTGCTGCCCCCCCTCGCCCTGCCCTTGCTGCTGCTGCTGATCTGGGGACTGGTGGACCCGGGCACAGGTAGCGGATCGCCCCCCTCCCCTCCTCCCGCCGCCCTTCCTCGCCGACCCCCTCGCTTCTGCCCTCCGGAGGCATCCGGCCGTGCAGCGCTGCCCGGGCGCCGATCGGATCGATCGGATCGATCGGCTGACAGCACCCCGGCCGACGAGGCACAGGCCGCAGGATGGGGCTCCGAGCCGGGCGGCTGCACTGGGGACCTCCCCGGGGTGGTCGGGCCCGGGCGGAGGCGCTGGCGGCCCCGGAGGCGCCGGCGCGAGGGCCGGGCAGGGAGCACCGGCTCGGGATCGCGCTGTCCGGTGGCCGACTGGCCCCTGGCGCTGCTGGCGGGAGGACCGGCGGGAGGACCGGCGGGAGGGCTGGAGGGTGGGTGGGCCCCGCCGCGCTGACACGTCTCCTCTCTCCCCTGCAGCTGCCGGCGGCGGCGACGGGGCGGCCGACGTGGAGGTGGTGCTCCCGCGGCGGGTGCGCCCGGACGACGTGCACCTGCTGCCGGGGGTGCTGCTGCCGGGGGTCCCCCCGGGTCCCCGGCGGCGGCGGCGCCCCCCGCGCGCGCCCCCGGCCGCCCCCCGCCGCCCCCCGCCGCCGCCCGGCGAGCGCGCGCTGCTGCTGCACCTGCCGGCCTTCGGGCGCGACCTGTACCTGCAGCTGCGCCGCGACCTGCGCTTCCTGTCCGGCCGCTTCGAGGTGGAGGAGGCCGGCGAGGCCTGGCGCCGCGGCCGCCCCGCCGCCGAGCTGTGCTTCTACTCGGGCCGCGTGCTGGGCCACCCGGGCTCCCTGGTCTCCGTGAGCACCTGCGGCGCCGCCGGCGGCCTGGTACTGCCCGCGCCCCTCTCCTCCCCTCCCCTCCCCTCCCCCCGTCTGGGTCTGCCCCTCCGGCTGCGGCAGCGCAGGGGACGGTCCCCCGCTCCCCAGGAGGGCTGGGGTTTGGCTGGGGTGCCTTGGTGGGACGGCAGCTTAAGCCTCCAGGGGCTGTTGCTCTACTGCAGACACAGGGGGATGTGTCTCAGCCCGTCAGGCCCCCCGGACAGACAGGCGCACTCTCTCTCCCCCCCTCTGTTGGCCCAGGTATAGAACGTATGCACTATATATATATTTTATTGAGTTTTTACAGAGAGGAATAGAAAGCTAGAAACATCGGTGAGAGAGAAACATCGATCAGTCGCCTCTTGCACACCTCCTACTGGGGATGCGCCCGCAAACCAAGGTCCATACCCCTTGACCGGAATCGAACCCCAGGGGACCTTTCGGACCGCAGGCCGTCGCTCCATCCACCAAGCCACACCGGTTTCGGCTAGCGTGTGCACTATTGGCGCATGTGCACTTCAGGGGGGAACGACTATTGGCGTCCCTCTGACCTCCTCTCGGGTGTGGGGGCATTTGTTCACCTCCCTTCTGTCCCTTTGAAACCCCTGTGCATGGGAAATGGAGTGCTGACCTTGGACGTAAGATTCTCCGTGTCTCCAAAAATCTCCAGCTGTGGCCACAGTGCTTCCTCTGTCCCCAGGACCCTGCCCCCGCCCCCTGCATCGGAGGCACCCGTGTTCCGGGCACCTGCTTGGACCGCCAGGGGTCACTCAGCTGCACACACGCCCAGCCAGGTGCTCCCCAGCTCCTCCTCGGGCCTGCGGAGGGCAGGCTGCCCCAAGCAAGCCTGGCAGAGGCTCAGGGCAGGAGCCACACAGCTGCTGCTCTGTCTGCTGCCGTGCCTGGCTGCCGGCGAAGCGGTTTCTTGTTCTTATCTACTTATTTTTTTAAATATATTTTTTTACGGAGTTCAGAGAGGAAGGGAGAGGGGAAAAGAGGGAGCGAAACATCAGCGATTAGAGAAAATCATCGATCGGCTGCCTCTTGCACGTCCCCCTACTGGGGATCGAACCCGCAAACCAGGGCACGTGCTCTGACTGTGAATCCAACCCTTCATAGGGTGATGCTCCATCACTGAGCCACCCCGGCCGGGGCAAGCAGTTTCTGACATCCATCGCTGTGTGTCTGCCCTTCCCAGGCACCAAGGAACTGCTCCCCCGACCCCGAGCTCACCTGACTGCAGCTTCTAAATCCCTTCGCCCTTCCTCGCACTGCCACGCCAAAGCCAGGCGGCCTGGGGTCCCGGTTCCCAGCACAGTTCTGTTTTCTCCTGAGCGATAGAGGGCACCCCCGGGAAACATCCTGGGACCGGCCCTCGCCAGCGCCCCAGTCCGGACGCGTCCGTGTCCCGCTCGGAATGCGATCTCCTTGTGCTCAGCCAGCCAGGAGAGATGGATTTCTCTGGTGAAACCGGGATCACGGGCCGTGAACGGAGGGGGGAGGAGGGGCAGAGAGCGTGGGCCGTGGGCGAGGAGGGCGAAGCCGGAACGAGAAAGGCCCCCCCGGCCGCGGTAGGACCCGAGTCAAGGCCGGATCACGCTCGGGGAGGGACTGGAAGGCCCACATCATTTTCGCCGTTGCTGCCAAAGTGTTTAAAAGTCTAGGTCACATCCCCGCGCCCGTACATGGAAACATCTGAATCCCATTTGCTGCGGTTTCGTTGAGTTTCGGCGGCGGAGGTCAGAGTGTAGACGTTCCCGGTGTAAAGTTTCCAGCGAGTAGCTAGCTATCTGCGGAGGAGCGGGGGGTGGGAGGGTGGGAATCTGGATCGCATCGGTTTCAATCCCCAGCGAGCGGGAGAGAGCGAGAGCAAGGGAGCACCGGGCCCTCTGCAGATGGCAACGGAGCCATGAGGGCTCATGTCCGTCCTCCAGGCTCTCGGGGGCTGCCCTTCCCTCCGGCGCCATGTGAGGGCGCTGTGCCTTAGATAAAGGAACAGGGCCAAGGGGCTGAGCTGGGCCCTGCCAGCGGCGGCGGCGGGCGGGCCTCGTGGACTAGGGATCCGAAATTCCTGCCCAAGCCGTGGCTTCTGTTGTTTAGTCTGTCCCGTTCCTCCCGTCCCCAGCTGCATGCTGGGCCCTCCTTCCCTAAGGGTACTCTGGCCGGAGGCAGGAGGGGACAGACGGCCTGGGGACTCGGTTTGCAAGGTGGCCTGAACGCAGGGGGAAGAGAAAGCAGGGGAGCGTAGGCTGACCAGGTTGGCATGGCGACCTGTGCCTGAGACACCCCTCTTGACCGAGGTGGAAGCACTGGGAGGTGGAGAGCTGGCGTGTGCACGCGTGCGTGCCTGTGTGTGCGTGGCATGTGTGAGGACAGGCGTGGCTCCAAGGCGTGGGGGACAGGCAACGCCACGCAGAGGAATTCTGGGCCGCAGAACCCGAGGTGGAGCAGGGGGCGGCCCGCTCCACCTGTGAAAGGCCGAGTAGGAACTCGCTTAGGGATTGCGGGGCCCCTTTGAGCAAGAAAGCAGCCGCAGAGGGTACATGAACAAATGGGCAGTCAATAAAACTTTATTGGGCCGTGCGGAGTGTCAAGGAAATCCTGCCACACCTCGCGTCCCCACAGCAGCTCAGTAGACACGGCCTTGTTCCTGTCCGGTGGACTCCTCCCCGCAGTCTTGTCTCCTGGGGCATTTGTTGTTTGGTTAATCTTTTCCTCAAGGATATTTTCCCACTGATTTTTAGAGAGAGTAGGAGGGAGGGGAGAGACCAAGAGAGAGAAACATCGTTGTGAGAGAGAGAGAGACGCATTGACCGACTGCCTCCTGCATGCGTCCCGGCCAGGACTGGGGATCGAGCCTGCAACCGGGGTACCTGCCCTTGACCAGAATCGAGCCCGGGACCCTTCAGTCCATAGGCCGGCACCCTACCCATTGAGCCAAACTGGCTAGGGCTCCAGAGACATTGGAAGGAGGGGTACAGTGAGAATAGATCCTCCCTTCCTTGTGTAGGGGCCTGAAGAGTAACCCTGTGCCCGCCCTCCCCCCCCCATCCCCCGCCCCGTGCTCCCAGTGGGCACAGGGGCGGGCTGTGGCATCTCCTCTCTCTGAGTCTCGCTTCGGAAGGCTGGGCAGGCTGCGCGCGCCGCCCGGAGCTGCAGAGCCCGGGGGCTCCGGGCTCCGCCGCGTTCTGTTTATGCGGCTCCGCTGTATTTACATTTCCGAGAGTCCTCGGGGGTGGCGTCAGGCTCTGGAAGCGTGTCCGTGGCCCCTGTCATTGCAAAGCCATGACGTCCGCGCCGGCGAGGAAGGTATTTCCTGCCCCAAATAGGTGACGTCAGTTTGGCCCCGCCGCCACCCGATCTCGGGGTGCCAACGGGGCTGGAACCCGGCGCAGCTTCCCCGGATCTGGCAATGGAGACGGAACTCCATTGGAGTGGGCGTCCGTGCCGCTCGTGGGAAGAGAGGGGGTGACTGCGACCCCAGCCGCTTCCCGCTTCGGGTGAACGCTGACAAACTGGGGAGTCCAGGCGCCAGGCTCTGCCCACCCCTTCCTGGCTGAGGCTGGGCTGCCAGGGCCGTGCTGAGCCGGAGATGTTGGGACCAGCCCGGACCCTCGGGAGCGCTGGGCAGCGGGAGGTTTGAGAAGCCGGGGCCCGTGCCCTAGCTCTGTAGTCGGCAAACTGCGGCTCGCAAGCCACAGGCGGCTCTTTGGCCCCTTGAGTGCGGCTCTTCCACAAAACGCCACGGCCTGGGCGAGTCTATGTGGAAGAAGTGGCGTTAGAAGAAGTTGAAGCTTAAAAAAAAAAAAAAAATGTGCCTCTCCAGAGAAATTTCCATCGTCGTGCTGTTGATATTTGGCTCCGTGGACTCATGAGTTTGCCGACCACTGCCCTAGCAGCTGTTTTGTCTCCACGGATAGAGCATCAGCCCGTGGACTGGAGGGTCCTAGGTTCGATTCTGGTCAAGGGCATGGGCCTTGATTGCAGGCTCCATCCTCAGCTCTGGTCAGGGCACATGGGGGAAACAGCCCACCGATGTGTCTCTCTCACATCAATGTTTCTCTCTCTCTCTCCCTCCCATCTCTCCCCTTCCAGTCTCTCTAAAAAATAAAAAATAAATAAATGAAAATTTAAAAAATCAGTGGGAAAATATCCTCGGGTGAGGGTTAACAGCAACAAACAGTCACCAGACTCCCGGTCGCTTATGAAATCGCCCGCTTTTCCACGCCACACCACGTGGCCACGCAGAGCAGCAGCAGGGATTTGTCTTGGCGAAAAGTCTACGGCTGAGCGACCGCACGCCGTTCTATTGGAACAGGTGTCAGGAAGGTGCCTCGTCCCGAGTGACTCCCCGAAGAATGTTACCCTCCGGGGGGCAGCGGACACATCCTTGGAAAACGCCAAGCGCTGTGAAAAGGAATAGCTGAGAGACTTCACGGAACGCAAGAAGAAGGCAGAGGACCGTTGGTGGAACTCGGAAGGACGGGAGGGGGACACAGAGGGAAGGACTCGGGCCAGAGAGAGAATGCTAAGCTTTCTGTGCAGACTCCGTGGATCTCGGTTGCAGGCTCGATTCCTCAGCTCGATCCCGTGGCCTTGAAGTGACCTTGCGCACCGGCCCCCACCGCTCCGGGGCCTCAGGCCGCCTGTGGCCGTCACTCGGGGCACGGGATGCGATCCCCTCGTTTGAACTTTCGCTTCGTTGGCAGCGTCGTGAGAAAGAAAGCAAGAGCTGGACGGCGGGACGGTGAACTGGAGGCATCGCAGACGGATCGCATTCTTGGAGTTCATTTCCTGAACGCTGAGCTGCTGCAGCTGGCCGGCCGCGGCCGTGTCCAGCGGGAGAGGCGTTTGCAGCCAGAACCTCAGAGGGAGCCACCGTGAACCTCTCCCCGCTTCTGCACACGGATGTGCAGTCATGTTCTTGTTTTGCTTTGTTTTGTTTTTGGAAAAAAAAATTTAATTTATTTTAGAGAGGAAGGGAGAGATAGAAACATCTATGATGAGAGAGAATCATGGACCGGCTGCCTCCTGCATGCTCCCTAGTCGAGATCAAGCCTGCAACCCGGGCATGTGTCCCGACCGGGAATCGAACCCTGACCTCCCGGTTCATGGGTTGACGCGCACCCACGGAGCCACGCCGGCCAAGGCATGCTCTTGTTCTTCAGGAAACGAGACTGCACGGCCGTCCGTCGGGGGGCTGTGACCTTCGAGCCAGTCCCTTAGTGGCTCCTGGAGAGAAGGCAGTGGGCGGAGCCTGGGCCTTCCCCAGCCAGCCAGCCAGCCAGCCGGCACTGTGACAGCCTTCGGCTCACTGTCACGCACCTGCCACGCGCAGGCCGCTCTGGTCGGCTCCCCTCCAGCCCCGGAGCGAGGGCAGTCTGCACCCCGGTCCCCCCCATCCCCCCCGGCCCACCTCTGCCTCCGCCGGCTTCCTCGGTCTCCCCCAAGCACCTCACGCCCAGGTGGTCACTGCAGGGGAGAAGCTTGCAGACCACCACCACCACAATGGTTTTTATTTGGGCCGTAAAGTCTCCGAGTTGTTCTTGGCAGACGTTCTAATGAATTCGAGACCGTGACGTGTGCGCTTCAAGCCGTCCGTGCGGTCTCCCCCCGCGTGCTGAGGACGGGAGGCTGTAGGCGATCGTGTGGGGCGAGCCGCTTTGATTTCCAAGAGGCGGTGGCGTCCACTCGACCCCGGGGAAGGCGAGGGGTCTGCTCCGTGAGGCCCGAGTGGGGTCCTCCGTGCTCGAGACGTGAAGGAGTGGCTGTGTCGTGCGGGAGGCAGAGGGTCTCAGAGTGTGGTCCCGGGTGGCAGTGGCGGTATCGCGAGGGGCCTGTCCAACAGGCGCGTTCTGGGTTCCGCCCAGACGTCCAGGGGCTTTGGGGTTTGAGAAACGCTAGTGTAGGGTGTCATCGCTTTTAGCCAAAGGGGTGGGGCAGCGAGAAGGACGGATCCTGGAGAAGGAGCAGGTCCCAAGTTCAGGATCAGCTCTGCACAGCTGTGTGTGTGTGTGTGTGTGTGTGTGTGTGTGTATGTGTATGTCTCTTTATATATGTGTGTGTGTGTGTGTGTGTGTGTATCTATGTGTGTCTATGAGTGTGTATGTGAGTGTGTGTGTGTGTGTGTATTAATATTCATCCTATTAAAGAGACTGCTGAAAAATCCTAGTTCTCACATCTTTCATTCAATTCCCAAAGCCTGTTTGATTGATCATCCAGCAACTCTTGGCAATCCCCCTTTTTAGAAGGCTTTGAATAATATCAGGCCCCACTTACACATCTGGAGATTAACGACTTTTTGACCTTTCACACTGTGTTTAGAAATCTAACCTATTCCGTTTCGTTTTCAGGTTCTTTGTTTGGTTAAAAAAACAAACCCTCGGCCCTGGCTGGCATGGCTCAGTGGCTAGGGCATCGGCCTGTAGACAGAAGGGTCGCAGGTTCGATTCTGGCAAAGGATACATGTCTGACCGGTTCCATCCTCTGTTTCATTATAAATATCCCCAGGGGGAGAGATCCATGTTCTCATTAAGGACACAACTGCCATTCATTCCCAACACGTTTGGGGTCTCCTCCTCAGGCAGACTTTTGGGGTTGATTTTAAAACTTACTCTAAAACTCAATTTTGGCCTGGCTGGTGTGGCTCAATTGATTGAAGGTTGCCGGTTCGATTCCCGCTCAGGGCACTTGCGGGCTCGATCCCCAGTAGGGAGCGTGTAGGAGGCAGCCTATCAATGTTTGCTCTCATCTCTCTCTCTCTCTCTCTCTCTCTCTCTCTCTCTCTCTCTCTCCCTCCCTCCCTCCCTCCCTCCCTCCCTCCCTCCCTCCCTTTTTCCCCTTCCCCCCTTCCCTTCCTTTCTCTCTAAAAATCTTTTAAAAAGTCACATTTGTTTTTATTTTTTTTTAATTTGCTTTGATTAATAAATACGTCTTTGAAAGCAAACCTGGAAAGTGAGTGCTGCCGCCTGAATCCCTGGACTCCCCCCCCGCCCCCGCCCCTGCACCTTGTGACCCCCCTCCCCACCACACCTGCGGGCGGGATGCCTCAAGGCTCACCCAGGCTCCTCCTCAGGCTCCGAGAAAGCCCAGGTGTGGGAACCCAGCCACAGGCAGGTCCCCGGGCGGCTGGGGTCCCGGGCGAGCGTGAACGGAGGTGACCGACATCCCGTGTTCTGTGTTTCCTCTCCCGGCAGGTCGGCCTCATCCAGCTGGGGCAGGAGCAGGTGCTCCTGCAGCCCCTCAATGGCTCCCGGGGCCCGCTCGGCGGCCGAGAACACCTGGTCCGGCGCAAATGGTCCCCGGCCCCCGGCCCCTCCGCCCAGGCCCAGGCCCCCGGCCCGCTCTGCCAGGTCCTCACAGGTGAGTCTGGGAGACGGGACGGCCGACTCCCACACGCAGCGGAGTCACCTGAGCTGTGACTCTATTTCAGGGAGACTTGGTCATTCAGAAACCAGAGGCCTGGTGCACGAATTCGTGCACCTGTGGGGTCCCTCCGTCTGGCCTGCGGGGATCGGGCTGAAACCAACTCTCTGACATCCCCCCCGCCCCTCCCCTCAGGGGTCCCAGATTGCGAGAAGGCAGAACTTTTTTTTAAAATTATTATTATTTTTTATTTTATTGATTTTTCACAGAGAGGGATAGAGAGTCAGAAACATCGATGAGAGAGAATCATCGATCAGCTGCCTCTTGCACATCCCCCACTGGGGATGTGCCCGCAACCAAGGCCCATGCCCTTGCCCGGAATCGAACCCGGGACCCTTCAGTCCGCAGGCCGACGCTCTATCCACTGAGCCAAACCGGCCCCGGCGAGAAGGCAGCACTTGGGTGATGCACCACGGAATCGGCCTCCCTCCTTCTGGGTGCATCACCCAAGAACCACCGCTGCCAAGAGACCACAGCCCGGCAGCTCCTGCGCTGAGCGTCTGCCCCCCTGGTGGTCAGTGCGCATCATAGCTTATGGCTGGCCGGCCTGTCGCGGAGGCTTTTATATATGTAGATGAGCCTTGCAGGTCTGCTCAGCTATTTCAAGCCATCCTGACCTTGCCCAGGTGCTGAGGGTACCCTCCCTTAGCCTAGGAGGCACGGGAGGTGATTGCATCAGGTCAAGGTCAGCCCTGCCACGCTGGGGAGCTCTGAGTGGCGGGTGGAGAGAGGACGCCAGCAAGCTCTGTTCCTTGCCACGTCCTCACAAAAGCAGGGAGGCTGGACTCGGGGTAATGCCACTGGGATCTACCAAGTACCACCACGACAATGTCCCAGCCTCACGGTCGGCAAACCGCGGCTCTCGAGCCACATGCGGCTCTTTGGCCCCTGAGTGTGGCTCTTCCACAAAAGACCACAGCCTGGGCGCGTCTATGTTGAAGAAGTGGCGTTCGAAGAAGTCTAAGCTTAAAACAGAGAAATGTCCATCGTTGTGCTGTTGGTATTTGGCTCCGCGGGCTCATGAGTTTGCCGACCGCTGTCCCAGGGCAAGCGCATGGCGACCTCCCTTCCCCTCCCCTCAAACCCGCACCGTCTGTGCAGGACTGGGCGCGCGTGGGCCTTGTCGCGGAATGCCCAGCCCGGCCCGTGGCCCGCGCCCTCCCCTGCAGGGGCCGTGACCCGGGAGGATCGCTGACGAGACGGTAAACGGCGCCCGTGTTTGCCTTTCTGTTCCCGGGGCTGGAGGGGAGGCATCCTTCGGAAGGACTGTTTAGCCTCCAACAAAGGAAATGAAACTATTCACAAAAGCAGGGCGGGGAGGATGTGCTGGAAACCAAGTCAAAACAAGAGCCGTCATGCAACTGTGCACAGGCAGCAATTACCGAGGCGGCTCAGGCTCTCACCTCCCCCACACCGCCCCTCCCCTCCCCTCGGGGGGCCCTGTGTGCGGGAGGGGCGGGCACGTCTGAGGCTCTGGCCCAGCGGCAGGGGGGGGGGGCCCGGGGGGTGGGGGACGCAGACCAGGGAGAAAGGGGTATGTTCTGCTCTGGGGTCCTCCTTCTGTTGCACGAGGGTCTCCGTGAACTTGGCTGCTCCGTTGAGAATGGCCACCATGAACAGACCTATAATCAGCATCGAACGTTGTGAGTTTAGCCACAGGGAACATGGATTGATTCCTGAGATGTCCGCATTGTTCGGGGTTTCCCGGAAAGGTGAATCGGAGGGACCCAGCTGTTCCCACGGGGGTCGGGGTCTCTCTGGGCTGAACGTGGAGTGTTGTGTCGTCCTTAAGGTTGTGTTGTCCTGTGGCTTAGGGGTGGCCAGCCGGCTCAGGCAGGCGAGGGGGTCGGATAAGGGAGCTGTGAGTAGGGGTAGGTAAGCCGCCATGCCCTCCTGGGGCACAGAGGGACTAATGCAGTCAAGGCCAGCCGGAGGGAACCACACAGCTTGCATTTTTTCTTTTATTTATTTTTTTAAAGATTTTTTTTTTTTTTTTACTAATTTCAGAGAGGAAGGGAGAGGGAGAGAAAGAGAAAGAGAAATATCAATGAAGAGAGAGAATCGTGGATCGGCTGCCTCCTGCACACCCCACACTGGGGATCAAGCCCACAACCCGGACATGTGCCCTGACCGGGAATCGAACCTGTGACCTCCTGGTTCCTCCTAGGTCGACGCTCAGCCACAGAGCCACATCGGCCCGGCCGTGCTTGCATCTCTCACAGTCTTTTGGGGCTCCCAGAGGGGAGACAGGCGATGCTATTCCGGTTATAGCTCCTTGTTTTTAGGGCCTTATAAACCGATTCATAAAATAGCCCTCCAGTTAGGAAGGCGGGGACTTGGCATGAGTATGCGGCGTCTGAGTGAGCCCTTCTTCCCCTTTGGACGAGAGCGTGTGTTGTTTTTTAAAAAAAATGTTTTTATTGAGTTCAGAGAGGAAGGGAAAGGGAGAGAGAGAGAGAGACAGAGAGAGAGAGAGAGAGAGAGAGAGAGAGAGAGAGAGAGAGAGAGAGAGAGAAAGAAACATCCATGATGAGAGGGCATCATGGATCGGCTGCCTCCTGCACGCCCCACACTGAGGATGGAGCCCACAACCCGGGCCTGTGCCCTGACCGGGCATCGATCCCTGACCTCCTGGCTCCTAGGTCGACGCTCAGCCCCTGAGCCACGCCGGGCGGGCTCCTGCGGCCCACGTTTCCCAACGACGTCTCTTCCATCAGCCGGAGCGGTCGCCATCCCTCCGCCGTTAATTCTGTGCTTCTCCCCGTCCCGTCGTCCTTTGGACGGATTCTCCATGAGAACACAGAAACGCCAGTCTGGGGCAAGCACCCCGGCCCGCTTCCGGAACATTCCCATGACCTGATTGAGAAAGAAAATCAAAAACTCAAGCGTGGAGACGGAGAGGAAAAAGCACACCCAGCCGTGTGCGTGTTTGTGTCTGCGTGTGCGAGCACGCGCGTGTGTATGTGTGTATATGTGTGTGTGTGTGTGTGTGTGTGTGCCGTTCCCCCAAGCAGAGGCATCGGGCGCTAAGCGTGTTATCTTTTCCCAGTCCTCTCCCGGGCGGTTATGCAACACCCCCTCCCTCCCCCGCCGCCCCCCTTGAGTAACTGGCAGCAGAGCCAGCCTCCGCTTCCATAGGAAAGTCTGTCTGGGAGCCGCGGCAGGGCAGGCCGGGCCAGCAGGCAGCTGATTGTTTAAAGTGCAGGCGGCCGGGGCCAGCCAGGTGGCTGGAGGAAGCTCCTGGCAGCTGGCCGCCCCGGGGCAGGAGGAGGAAGAGGAATCGGGGTCCCCAGGAGGCAGGCGCGGGTCGGGGCCCAGGCCGGGTGGCCGAGGCGCTGACCCAGGGTTCCAGGGCCGATGGGGGGCGGAGCGGCAGGCCCCTGCCAACTCCCCCTACAGTGTCTGATTTTTGAATCAGCAGCAGCGTCGCCCTACCTGCTCCCTCCGAGGCGGGGAGCTGGAGGGATGTGGGCCTGGGCCGGGGAGCCTGCCCGGTGGGCCTCCCTCCCAGCAGGAGGCCTCGGGCCAGAGGCTCCCAGGCGCGGAGGAGGGGATGGGGAGCAGACACCCTGTGTGCAGCGACAGTTTGCTCTTTCCAAGCAATGCCTTTTGGGTTGCTTTCTTTTCTCTTCTCCACCGAAAACGGTCTGGCTTTCTCTGTCCACTCGTTTCTCATGGAAAAGCCCAGGGGGGAAAAAAAATAAAAATAAAAAAGCCCGTCAGGACATCTGCTGCCCGGCGTTCTTGGGCGTCCTCCAGCCGCGAAGGCACCCCACCCCCCCGGCCCCTCCCCAGGCCGGCGGGCGATGTCTCCCGCACGGCCAGCCGGGGAATTCGCTCGCCACCGCGGGGATAGGGTTGCAGCCTCCGCCTGCAGCCCACACCGTTCCCAGGCCGTTAGCAAGGCGTGGACGCGGGCCCGTGTCTGGCTCGGGGTCGGGACACAGCTGGACGGTGCCCCGTAGGGAAAAGCCCCATAAAAGCCCTCCCCGTGGGGCAGACAATATATCAGGCGCCGCCGGTGGTGGTGGTGGGGGGGCAGGAATCGGAACTGCCTTCGTGGGGGGAACCTGCCGGAAAGGGCCAGAGCCCCCCCTAGGTGGGGGACACAGGGAGATCCCCATCCACACCTGCGCTCAGAAACACTCAGGGGTGGGGGAGGCGAAACAGGGCTCGGCTTCTCTCCAAGGAGACGGCGTCATTTATTTATTTCTTCTTATTATTTTTAAAGATGTTTTTATTGATGTCAGAGAGCAAGGGAGAGGAAGAGAGAGAAACATCCATGAGGAGAGAGAATCACGGGTCGGCTGCCTCCTGCACGCCCACCACTGGGTATGGAGCCTGCAACCCGGGCCTGTGCCCTGACCGGGAATCGAGCCCATGACCTCCTGGTTCCTAGGTTGATGCTCAGCCCCTGAGCCACGGCAGCCCGGCTCCCCGCACTATGTTATATACGTAAGTTATCCAGCACTTCAACATTCACTTTCCGTCCCAAAACGGGAACGTTATTCGTCACGGAACAAACCTAAGCTCCTCTCCTCCTAAAGGCTTATTCCAACCGAAGTAAAAAACGGCATTATCGGCTCCGAAAACAAATGCTGCGCATTTATAGCTGAAGGATTCCCCGTGGGGGAGGTTTCCATCCGAGCAGGGCGGCTTGCCAGATCCTTTGCGACTCCCTGTTGGTCAGAGCCACGAAGAACATGAGAACCAGAGAGACCGGCCGATCGCCGCTAACAGAGAAGCCGAATGCCCCTGCGATTTGCTATAAGCCCCCGCACTCCCATGAGAGACGATTCTGGAAACAAGCAACCCGTAAACCAGGAGTCAGAAACGACATTGCCTGCATCTGGCAGAGACATCAGCCCGTGTTCCCCGAGACGCTTTTATCCCCGGGACGATGCTGAGCACAGCAAAAAAAGGAAGGTTCTGAGCTCCAGCAAAGCCTGCGGGAGCAGCCGGCCTTGTGCTTGAGCGGACGGACGGACGGAGGCCTGCAAAATGCAGAATGACGGACAGGGTGCCTGTAACCAGCTCGACGTGTTCCTGAAACCTGGGCTTTCCGTACGGTTACGTTTAGGGGGTGTTTTTTCCCCCCCCCCTGAAAATGTGTTTTCCCTGCAGCCGCATCTCTCTTGCTTCACTGAAATGAAATTGAGGGTCTCTCTCCTTCCATCTGCCCTGTTGCCATCTCGGTTGCTCAGAAATCTCTCTCATTGGTCTGAGGTGGCGGGGTGGGGTGGGGAGGAGGAGCAAATCAGCATCTGCCTACCCAGGACATGGGTTTGACTACATAGGTTAATTTAAAATATATATATATATATATATATATATATATATATTTATATATATATTTCTTGACTTCAGAGAGGAAGAAAGAGAGAGTGAAACACATCCATGATGAGAGAGAATCATCGATTGGCTGCCTCCTGCACGCCCCCTACTGGGGAACCGAGCCTCTGCAACCGGGGCCTGTGCCCTGACCGGGAATCAAAACCGAGACCTCCTGGTTCACAGGTGGAGGATGCCCAGCCATTGAGCCGCACCGGCCGTGCTAGCAGGCTCATTTTTCAGGGGGTCATTTTGGATGGCCCACAAATGACGTTACAAACATTCGAAAGGCTCTTGGCAGAGAAAAAGGTTCCCAGCCCCGTTCCAGATGGTCCCCTGGCCTGGGGCAGTGCCTCCCACACAGTGGTGCTCGTCAGCATTTGCTGGCCGAAGGGCTGGCTTTTCCTCCCCCGCACCCCCGGGCAGCAGTGCCTGGCTGCTTGCTACCTCTGTGGCCATGACCGTGGGGGGACCAGGTCCGGGGGGCCAGCTCGGCTTTGCTACCCCTGGTCCTGCTAGTCCTAAGGGTAGGGGTACGGGTCATACCTCCTGCCTAGTGCAAGTGCTGATTTTTTAAAAAATATTTTCATTGATTTCAGAGAGGAAGGGAGAAAGGGAGTGAGACAGAAACAATAAACGATGAGAGAGAATCATTGATTGCAAGCACTGATTTTGGACTTCAAGATTGATCAGTTCTTTATTTGGGATCTTAACTAGACAAGAAAAAAAGAAAAAAAAAAAAAGAAAAGAACCAAAAAAAAAAAAAAAAAACCCCACAAAAAATCCAATGACAAAACTCTTATTTTTCACCTTTTTTTATTTTTTGTAAGGAATTTACATGCAAAAGATGCCTTTTTTTTTTTTTTTTTTTTTTTTTTTTTTATGAAAGCGACTTGGCCTTGGGCAAAGTTATTTAAAGCATTCATCCTTGGAGAGCAAACCTTATTTTTTTTTTTTTTTTTTCCTTTTTGAAAAAAAAGAAAAAAGAAAAGAGAGGGCCATTCTCTCCCAAGGATGCCGGTGTCTGCAGCCACCGGGACGTCCCCGCAACGGGAGTGCTTCCCAGCACGCCGAGCCACCGTTTCCAGGCCGGAAAAAAAGGTGTTTTTCTGCCAACCGACCCTTGGCTTTGGCTGAAGAAGACAAAGTGATCCGAAAAGAATTTGGGAGGGCCTGCGCTTGTTATGTAAGCATGTGCGTGCGTGCGTGTGCGTGTGTGTGTGTATGTGTGCGAGCACACACTCTAACCCATCACCTGGAGCCCGGCCGGTGTGGCTCAGAGTCCAGTAACCCCGGCTGGGAACCGGTGAGCTCCCTAAGGCCATCGCCTGGACTCGACACAGGAGCACGGCGCTCCCAGGCAGGGGACAGCTTTCCAATGGTCTCGGGCCCGGCCCTGCATGGCTCAGCGGGCTGAGCATCCACGCAGGAACCAGGAGGTTCACTGGTTCGACTCCCGGTCAGGGCACATGACCGGGTTGTGAGCTCGATCCACAGTAGGGAGCGCATGCAGGAGGCAGCCCATCGTTGATTCTCGCTCGCTCGTCACGGATAATTCTCTCTCTCTCTCTCTCTCTCTCTTTTCTTCTCTGAAATCAGTAAAAGCGTATTTAGTGCCGAAACTGGTTTGGCTCAGCGGTAGAGCATCGGCCTGCGGACTGAAAGGTCCCAGGTTCGATTCCGGTCAAGGGCATGTTCATTGGTTGCGGGCACATCCCCGGTGGGGGGGGCGTGCAAGAGGCAGCTGGTCGATGTTTCTCTCTCATCGACGTTTCTAGCTCTCTATCCCTCTCTCCTACTCTCTGTAAAAAAGTCAATAAAATATATTAACAAACAAACAAACAAACAAACGTATTTAGTAAAGAGAAAGCCTGGCTGGACCCGCATCCCTGATCTCGCTCCGGCCCCATCCCACCCCTGGGGGCGGGCGGAGGACCGCGCTCAGACCCTCCGTGTTTTCCAGAAAAGAAGATGCCAGCAGGGAAGGGCGGGCCGCCGGCGGACGGGCGAGTGCGGAGGAGCGCCATCCGGCTCACCAGCGAGCACACGGTGGAGACGCTGGTGGTGGCCGACGCGGACATGGTGCAGTACCACGGGGCCGAGGCCGCGCAACGGTTCATCCTCACCGTCATGAACATGGTGGGTCCCCGCGGGGCGCGGCGACACGGGAGCGGGGAGGTTTTGAAGAGCCAACGGCAGCCGGGGCCGGAGAGCTGACACCAGCAGCAGCCCCGGGCCTGGTGGGCAGGCCCCGCGGGAAAGCGGGCCCCTGGACAGAGCTGCGGTTGTTCTCAGCTTCCTTAACAACCACAGCGAACGAAGCAAGACGCTTGTGCGTTCCAGGCAGGTCCCTCCGGGGTGGGGTGGGGTGGGGAGGCGGTGGGGGGGGGGGGGGGAGGAAGAATGACATCAATTTTGCTCAGTGACCAGGCAGCACGGAGAAGCGGCCTCTCTCTGGTGAGCACGCCCTGGTCCCCAGGCGGTGTTGGGGTGCCGCTCCAGGCACCCCACGAGGCGCAGTGGGAGGGAAACAGCCTCCTGTGTGGGGGTCCCAATGGCGCCCTAATTGCAGAGTCACTCACAGTCCCCAGATGCCCCTGGGGAGGCCCCGACTCACACGGGGAGGGAGTGCTGTTGTGAAAACCCCTCTTAGGCCCGGTTGGTGTGGCTCAGTGCTTGAGTGTCAACCTAGGAACCAGGAGGTCAGGGTTCGATTCCCGGTCAGGGCACAGGCCCTGGTTACGGGCTGGATCCTCAGGGGGGAGAAGGGGGGACGAGGGGGAGGCAGCCGGTCCATGATTCTCTCTCATCATTGGTATATCTCTGTCTCTCTGCCTCTCCCTTCCTCTGACATTGATCAAAAGCGTTATGTTTAAAAATGAGGTCTGATTGATGATTCTCTCTCATCGATGTTTCTAATTCTCTATCCCTCTCTCTTCCTCTCTGTAAAAAAAAATCAATAAAATATATTTTTATAAAAATAAGGTCTGTAGGCAGGCATTTCCCCTCGGTGGGTGGGCCCGGCCCAGGAGAGCAGGTGTGGGAGCCGGGACGCCCCTAAAGTGCTTGCCCCCGCCCCCCCCCCGCCCCCTCCGACGGGTGCTGTCCTTCCACCAGGCCCGGCCGAGCGCAGGGCCGACGCGCAGGGCCGCGCTGGCAGCCGCTCCGCCAGACGGACATCGGACAACAGCCCCCCCACACACCGCGGCGGCCCGCAGACATGTAACCGAGCCGCCTGGAGGCCTGTTTTTTCCCATGGAAACTCCTGCTCAGGACCCGTCTGTGGGCAGCGTCCACGCGCCGCTGGGAGAGACGCCTGGCGGGGCCGGGAGCAGCGCGGCCCGGCGTCTGGAAAGTCTGTCTCGGGCGTCCGGCGCGGCCTGCGCCCTGGCGAGCGGTCAGAGGCCCGGCTGCAGCTGTCCCGTTTCCTTTTTTCTTTCTTTCTTTTTTTTAATATATAGTTTATTGAATTTTTTTAACAGAGAGGAAGAAAGAGGGACAGAGAGTCAGAAACATCGATGAGAGAGAGTCATCGACCAGCTGCCTCCTGCAAACCCCCCACCGGGGATGTGCCCGCAACCAAGGCACATGCCCTTGACCGGAATCGAACCCGGGACCCTTCAGTCCGCAGGCCGACGCTCTACCCACTGAGCCACACCGGTTTGGGCTGTCCCCGTTTCCTTGGCGGCCCCGGGGGCCCACACCGCTGTTCTGGCCGGGGGGACGTGGGGACGAGGCCAGGGAGGGGCGGACGGGGACCCCTGGGGAGGAGCTGTTCACAGGCCAAGAGGGTTTTTGTGTGTGTGGTTTTTTTAAAAAACATATTTTTATTGATTTCACAGAGGAAGGGCGAGAGAGAGAGAGAGAGAGAGAGAGAGAAACATAAACGATGAGAGAGAACCATGGATCAGCTGCCTCCTGCACGCCCCCTTCTGGGGATGGAGCTCAAAACACCGACATGTGCCCTTGACCAGGAATCGAACTCTGACCTCCTGGTTCATAGGTCGGAGGTCAACCGCTGAGCAGCACCAGCCAGGCTAACCGTTGGTGTTTAAGTAATATATATATTTTAATGAATAGAACTTAGATTGTACGATGCATGCATTCATGAACTTATAGTTTATATCTTTATATCGTGTGTCTTAGATTTATAGAAACATTGAGCGCATAGAGGCGTCCCACAGGGTCTCGCCGGCTGCTAGCACCTTACATCAGTACGCCGGCTATGACTCACGGATCAGTGGTTGAGCGTCAACCTATGAACCAGGAGGTCACAGTTCAATTCCTGGTCAGGGCGGGCACACGCCCAGGTTCTGGATTCGATCCCCGAGTGTTCACCGGGCGTCCGCCATTGGCTCCAATTTCCTTAGTGTTTACCCGATATCTCTCTTCTGTTCCGAGATGCCACGATATTTTATAAAAATAGGTTCTCCCTCTTCCCTTTCCTGTTCTCTCTCCACAGGTTTACAACATGTTCCAGCACCAGACCCTGGGGGTGAAGGTGAACATCCAGGTCACCAAGCTCGTGCTGCTGCGACAGCGCCCTGTGAGTCCCGTGGGGTGTGTGTGTGTGTGTGTGTGTGTATGTGTGTCTGAGTGTCTGACTTACCCACGCTCCCAGGCTCTGCAGGTGGCATCCGTGTACCCTGGCCAGGGACGGGGGATGTCTGGGGGGGTGGGGATTTCTTCAGCTGCAGGCAAGGCCTATGCCAAGGCATGCCGGGGGCTCTGAGCCCCGCAGCCAGCCCAGGGCCGGCGCGCTCTGTCTCCCTTGGGGCTGTCACCTCCTGAGCTGCCTGAGCCATCCCTCCTCCTGACCTCCGTCCCCCCGATTTCTTTCAGGCCAAGCTGTCCATCGGGCACCACGGGGAGCGGTCCCTGGAGAGCTTCTGCCACTGGCAGAACGAGGAGTACGGCGGCGCCCGCTACCTCGGCAACAACCAGGTGCCCGGCGGCAAGGACGACACACCCCCCGTGGACGCGGCCGTGTTCGTGACCAGGTAACGCTGGCCGCGGCCGCGCCCCCCCCCCCCCCCCCCCCCCCCGACGCTCGGGCGGGGCCATCAGCTAGGAATTCAGGCCTGGTCGTCCGACCGCGGGCCGCCTGTGCGAGCCTCAGTTTGCTCATCCGTGTAGTGGGGATAACAGCAGAACCGTGGAAGCAAAACGATCTCTCTCTCTCTCTCTCTCTCTCTCTCTCTCTCTCTCTCTCTCCCTCTCCCTCTCTTTCTCTTTCTCTCTCTTCCTCTCCCCCTCCCTTCCACTCTCCCCTAAAATCAATGGGAAATATCCTTGGGTTGAAGAGTAACAAAACACACAGATGCTCAACGTTGTGTTCGATGTGGTCTGCCACAATCAAACACGTTTAAGAATGTCCTTTTCCACCTGAGCACATAACTGGGGTGCTGATTGCACGCGGGTGGCTCTGAGTGTGTGTGTGTGTGGGGGGGGTGTTGGGGAGGGGGGAGACTGGAGGTCAGAAAAGCGAGATTTTTTTCTTTTTTCTTTTTTGTAATCCTTCCCTGAGGGTATTTTTTCCTTTGATTTTTTTAGAGGGAGTGGAAGGGCGGAAGTGGAGGGGGGAGGGGACAGAGACAGAGAGAGAGAGAGAGAGAGAGAGAGAAACCTTGATGTGAGAGACAGACCCACGGATGGGTTGCCTCCCGCACACACCCTGCACGCGCCCTTGACCGGGAACCGAACCCGAGACCCTTCGGCGCGCAGGCTGACACACTAACCATTGAGCCACACGGGCCTACGCCGAGGCTCTCTGTCTCCCTTTGGTGCAGGCCCCTCCTGAGCTACCTGAGCCATCCCCACGGCGCCCGGTTCTGCGGGGGCCGCTGGGCCCACGGGCCCGGTGCCTGCCCGCCCCGCCCCGCCAGGTCCTCCCCGCCCTCCCTCTCAGAGCAGATGTTCCATCGAGACCTCCCAGCAGCCGGGCAGGCAGTGTGAGCGTGGGTGGGGGCGGCCGCTCACTTGGCCGCCAGGCATTATCTAGTAATTAGAGGCCCAGAGTGGCAGCCCCCGGATCGGATCGGGGTAATGCCGGGCTGGCCGACGTTTTCCCGCGGAAACGGGGTGTGAGGCCGCTGCTGCTCGGAGGGAGCTCCTTCCTCCCAGCGTGATCGGGCCTCGTCCCACACCGACGCGGTCCCAGCTCCCCGCTCCCCGGCCCTCCCTGGGCTGAGCCCCAGCCTCTGTCTGCAGACGGCCAGCACGGGGAGGGGAGCACGTCATGGCGGCAGGAGCTGGTGGTCAGCGGCTGCAGCCACGGCTGGGACGCCAGAGCTCCCCTGAGTGGACCGCACAGAGGCGTCCACACCTCGCTCGGTGTTAGCTGTGACTCTGTCTCCCCCCCCCCCCCCCAGGCCCCGAGTCCTTTGTCCCCCAGAACAGCCAGAGGCCAGGCTGAGTCGCCTGTACCTGCAGGAGGGGGGGCGCGGTCAGGCTCTGAGCAGCTTCACTCTCTCAGGCCACCGCCACGTACCTGGGGGGCCGGGAGAGCTTAAAGAGATACGTTCAGGAATGCCTTGGGCCCTTCCCACGTGGCTCAGTGGTTGAGCGTCGACCAGGAGGTCACGGTTCGATTCCCGGTCAGGGCACAGGCCCGGGTTTCAGGCTCCGTCCCCTGTAGGGGGCCTGCAGGAGGCAGCCGATCCATGATTCTCTTCCATCATTGATGTTTCTCTCTCTCTCCCTCTCCCTTCCTCTCTGAGATAAAAAACATAGATATATTTAAGAAAAGAAAAGACTTTCGAGTTGCCTGCTGGTTCGAGCATCTAACCCCCCCCTCCCCCCGGGCTGCCCGAGCAGAGTGGCTCGGGGAAGGCGCTGTCGGCCGAGGGCATCGACCAGCGATTGCTTCTGATCCGAGACGAGGCCCACGCTCCTCCCCACACGCTCCCTGCGGTGGGAGGGAGGCCCTCCGGCCGCCGCGGGGTCGGCGTGGCAGAGTTCAGCTGGAAGGAAGAGGGGGTGCCGTGTGGGCAGGTGGGGGGTGCTGCTCTGAGCAAGCCCTGCCGGTCACCACTCTTGGTCGTCTCCCGTGACAACCGGAGCGATGACGTCGCCGTGGGCGGGGCGACTCTAAGCGTGGACAGTGTGGGGGTCCCCCCCCTCCCCGTCCCCCCCTCCCCCCCCCCCGCGCTGCACACCCCTGACTGCCGCCCTGTGCTCTCTGCAGGACGGACTTCTGCGTGCACAAGGACGAGCCGTGTGACACCGTCGGTGAGTGCCCAGTTACAGCGATCCCTCCCATTCTCCCCGCCTCTCCTATTATAGAAATGGGTCTTCTGACTCCCTCCGTCCTGCTTACTTTCCCCAGAAAAGCCGTGCCAGTTCTCACGGCCGGCGGGAGGCACCCAGGCAGAGGGTTCATAAGGAAGAGAGGACACGTTAAGCCAGGGGAGGGGCCGCGGGGCGACCCCGAGGTGCCTGTATCTGGGGGCGCGCTTGTTTCTGAGCGTCTCTCTCAGCCGCCGGTGCAGGGGTGAGGGGACCCCCCCGGAGTTAAGGCGATTGTCAGGAGGCAGAGATGTTGCTGGTGTGCTCTGTGCCCTCAGATGGTTCTCCCCACGTGTCCTGGGGTGTGTGTGTGTGTGTGTGTGTGTGTGTGACCGGTGAACCCTGGCAGCCGCAGGCTTAGCCTGCTGGTCACAGCAATGCTATCCCCAGCACATTTCCCTTCTCCCCCTCCCTCCCTCCTCTTCCCCCCCCCACCCCCCACCGCCCACTTCCTCCCTCCCCTCCCAGGGGTACTGGCTTCTCTGGGCATCGGAACAGACTGGGGGCTCACAGGGGCCCCCTAGAGGATGAGGCCAGCGGCTGCCCAAACCTCCCTCCCCGAGGTCCCGGTCAGGCGCTTGAAGTCTGGCGAGCGATGACAGCTGCCAACAAGGCCCCCTGTCAGTCTTTATCGGTTGTACCTCGCCCGTCCTCTGATCAGATCTGTGGGCTCGGCGTCGGGCATGCTTCCCCCTGGGCGGGAACAGATCTCCGACGTCGCCCGAGGACCTACCTACCGTGTGTGGTTCTCTCTCCTACGGCTTAGCGCTGGCTTTTGTTTATTCTCCTCCGAGTGCCTAACCCTCGTCTCTGCCCTGAGCTGGGGGGACGTCCTGTCTGCCCCTTGACGGGAGAACCCCCCCCTTCCCACCCCCTGAGTTCCATGTCCCCCCGCCCATCCGCCCGAGAAGCTTCTCTCGTCCCCTCTCACGGGGGCTGCCGGACCGTCCCGACCTCAGGCCCTTCCCGCTTCCCACGGTTCGCGTCCATGAACACGCTGAGCGCTTTGGTGTGGTTTTTTCTTTTCTTTTTGGAAACGCCAGTTCCACGTAATACTTCCTCCTCCGAGTTCCCACTGCGTTTCTCTTGTTTGGTTTCAAACCCTTCCAATGTTTGCTATTGTCTCCCGTCTCCCGGACCCCATGGTTACAGAACCAACCGGGACCCAGCAGCTGTGCGCGGGCCGTGCCAGGGGCGCCTCGGGGAGCGGCCCGGTCCTCCCCACCCCCCACCTTGGCCGAGCCGCCGATCCAATGGAAGGGTGCCCGGAGCCGCAAGGCGAGGGGCCGGGGGAGCCCCCGGGCCCGGCCCCACCGGCTGGTGGCGGCACTGCTTCTGCCACGGCGCGCCGGCCGCCAAGACAAACACGGGTTTGGAGATCAAGCGGGAACCCCCAGAGGTTTTCGTCTTGGAAAAATAAACCTGGACGTGCCAGGCCCAGAGTCCCTCTGCGCCCACACCCAGGTCTGCCGGGCCCGCGTGCGTGCGGACGCCGGAGGCAGCAGAGGAGGCAGGGATGCCGGCGAGGGCGCCGGGGAGGAGGGGGAGAAGGGGCTGCTGCTCCCCAGGACGGGCCTCCCCAGGCTTGTCCCCGCCACCTGCTGTCTGCGGCCCGGTGGCAGGCCCCCTGCGTGCCCGCGGTGAGGGCAGAACGCAGTGTGCACACGACCACACGCACAGCGCCCAGCACAGCGCCCACCGCCCTGGGAGACGGGAGCTGTGGTTCTTATCAGCTGTGTCTCCTCGCTGGCCGGCTGCTGCAGGTACCTGGTCCTTCCAGGCAATCAGCCATCCTGCCCACTCTGCCTTCAGAATTCACTTGATCTCTTTTTTTTTTTTTTTTTTTTATTATTAAATATTTTTATTGACTTCAGAGAGGAAGAGAGAGAGAGACATCCATGATGAGAGAGAACCATGGATCGGCTGCCTCCTGCACGCCCCACACTGGGGATGGAGCCCCCAACCCGGGCCTGTGCCCCTGACCGGGAATCAAATCCTGACCTCCCGAGTTCATAGGTCGATGCTCAACCACTGAGCAGCACCGGCCGGGCCAGAATAGATTTTCCTTGTGCAGGGTGTCTCCGTCCCTCAGAGCAGTCGTCCTCTCTGACCTCTGCCCGGTGAGCCCTCCGTCCCGGTCCCTAATGACAGGTCCCCAAATTCCCTTGGGTGGGCGAACACTGCCCCCCTGGAGGGGGCAGGGCGTGGGTGGTCTTGCTCGGACCCCAGCCCGCCGCCCGCTCAGCTGGGAGGCCCAGAGGCCGCCCAGGTGCACACATCGCCTGCCCCACCCCACCCCGCCCCGCCCCGCCCCGCGCTCCCCTGGCTCCGGGCCCACGCCTGTCGGGGCCCAGGCTTTGCAGAAGATCCGGCAGAACAAAGCCCCCTTGTTGCTGTCACACCCCTCTGTTCCAACGTGCCAGGCCCCCTCATCCCGGTGAGCCGTCTGCCAGGGCGGTATCCATCGCGAGCCAAAGCCGGGCAGATGCCCGGACCTAGAGCAGAGAGCTGACTGGCCAGTGCCTACCTGGCCGCCTGCTTCCTCCCGGCTTTTGTGTTAGTGTTTAGGCCACAGTCGGCGTTGTTCCAGGTGGATGTGTCCACAGCAGCTGCGGGGCAAAGGGCAAAGGGCAAAGGGCAAACTGTCGGGTGACGGCCGTGGTGCCGTCAGTGCTGCCCAAACCCTCTGGGGGCCAAGGGCGATGCAGCTGAGAAGTCCGTGTGGGGCACACACCCACCTGCTGCCGAGGTCACAGCGTAGGGTCTGGACTGGGCCCCTGTGTGGTGGCCGAGAGCTTCTCCAGGGCGTTCCGAGGGTCCCCGAGCCACCGACAAAGGCGCCGGCCGGGGTGAAGGTACCTCTGGGCCAGGCCAGCCCCGGGCTCCTGCTGCCGGGAGCTGAGCGCCTTAGACGCCGCGGCATTCTGGGCCGTTTCACCCCGCAGACCCGCACGGAGCATGCTTCCCTCCCCCTGTTTATGAATTCTTAAAATATATTTGCACTGACTTCAGAGAGGAAGGGAGAGGGAGAGAGAGAGAGAGAGAGAGAAACATCAGTGATGAGAGGGCATGATGGATCGGCTGCCTCCTGCACGCCCCCCACACACTGAGGATGGAGTCTGCAACCTGGGCCTGTGCCTTGACCGAGAACCGAACCTCAACCTCCTGGTTCCTGGGTTGATGCTCAACCCCTGAGCCACACAGCCAGGTGCCATGTCCTTATTTTCGCATCCTGTCAGCAGCACGGAAGCCCCGCCAAGGCCCCCTCAGGGGCACGGGAGGGAGGGCTTCCCAAGGCAGTTGATGGGAGCCCAGGATGCTGAGTCAGCATCCACACGGCAGCCGGCTCCCCGAGCCGGGCGCGCGGGGACCACTTCTATCGCCGAGGGGCTCTCATGTCCTCGCCGGGGGAGTGCTTACGGACCTCCGCTCAGGAGCCGGTGCCCAGAGCCGGCCTGGGGCCCCCGTCCCGCTCCCGCACGCAGCCCGAGGGCCAGAGCCACCTCCAGGGGCCTGGATCCAAAGTCCCCTCGGCTCTGGGGCCTTTGGGATTCCGCCCTTCACCCCCAAGAGGGGGGCTCCGCGTGGCCAAGGGTGCGGTTTCTCCGTCCTTCCGAGGACGCGCTGCCTTTTCCCTCCGCTGACCTGGCAGCCTGTCCGCGCATGGCCTTGCGTTTTATGTTTCCCCTGGAAACAGAGCTGCTAGCGTGAGAGGGAGGGAAGCCGTATGTCAGGGTCGTCCCAGGCAACTTTCTAGAGCATTCCATCCCCCGGGTCCTTGGAGCAGAGTCAAGGCAGAGTGGTAGACACGGCTCACGTGGTCCGTAGGCGGCCTGCCTGGGGGGGGAGGGGATGAGCCCGCAGCCCAGGTATGTGCCCCGCCCGGGAATCGAACCGGCGACTTTTCGGCTGCATGGGATGGTGCTCAACCAACTGAGCCACACTGGCGGCCAGGGCACGCCATTTGCTTTTAAATACGGCTCACACATTTTATTATTTTTATATTTTTAACTTTTTCCTTTTTTGAGAGGAAAGGAGAGGGAGAAGGAGAGGGAAACATCCATGATGAGAGAGAATCACGAATCGGCTGCCTTCCTGCATGCCCCCACACTGGGGGTGGAGCCCGAAACCCAGGCCTGTGCCCTGACCGGGTATCGAACCCGGACCTCCTGGTTCCTAGGTCGAGGCTCAATCCCTGAGCCACCCCCCGCCGGGCTGGTCCGCAGATTTAAATCACACCTCCATCCCCGTAGCGCACAAGGACCTGGGAACGAGCCTGCTCCCGGGACTTGACCTCCACCGCCGCGGTGGCCAGGGAATAGCCGTCCGTTACTTCCTCGCCCTTGGCACACGGGCATCCCGGTGACAACCAGGGCGGTGCTGGCACGGTGAGCGGTTGGCTGGTGGTGGGAGCCCGGGCAGCCGGGCCAGCAGCTGGGACTGTTTACCCGGCCTGTTTGCCGGATGAGCCGGAATTTGCACTGCCCTGTGTTTACTTCTGGCACCCGCAGGCCCCTGGCGGGGCCCGGGAGAGCTATGTGCTGACGCCACGCAGTTTTCTCCCGGACTAAGCAAACAAGGAAGCCTCCCTGCCCCCAGCTTCCGCACCGAACGCCGCCCCCTCCCGAGACGCGGCAGCGGGCTGCCCTGAGATGACACGGCGGCGGCGGGGGACAGGCCGGCGGCCCCGGGGACGCGGCCGCTGTGCGGGGTGAATTAGATGTGTTTCTCCGGCGTCGCATCTCCGATGTGAAATGTGTTTTGCCGGGGGATGTAGGAGAGAGGGAGTTGGGTTAGAAGCACAGACTCAATTGTGTGTTGTTCGTGAACTTCCTTCTTACCAGAATCAAAATCTAGGGGACTTAAAAAAAAATTATATATATTTTTTATATATATATATGTGTGTGTATACACACACACACACACACACACACACATTTTTTATTTATTTCAGAGAGGAAGGGAGAGGGTGGAGAACGAATCATGCATCGGCTGCCTCCTGCGTGCCCCTCATTGGGGATGGAGCCCACAACCCAGGCATGTGTCCTGACTGTGAATTGAACCATGACCTCCTGGTTCAGAGGTCAGTGCTCAGCCACGGAGCCACGCCGGCCGGGCCTGGAGGACTGGTGTGTGTGTGTGTGTGTGTGTGTACACCTCTGCCTCTGCCCCATGTCTCCCGGGATAAGTGAAATACAACCAGTACCTTCAGTCTTCACAGCAAGTCCGTATTCGTTCTGTTCTGTGTAAGCCTCACACAGAAAGAAGCAGACAATTAAAAAGAGCTCTAATGACTTCACCATTCCGTGGAGGTAGCCGCTGTTAATATTATTGCCTCTCTCCCCGGAGTCTTTTTATGTTCAGGATTAAGAGCGTTTGGACTCGGCCATGTGGAACCTCTGCTCCATCCCACCCACGTCTCCCTATAAACGCAGGAAGGTCTAGGGAAACCTGCTAAGTCTGAAAAGGCTGTTCACGGTCGTGGGTCTATCAGGACTTTGGTGAGGGCGGCCCCCGGGGTTTGAGTGATGGAGAAAGAGAGCCCCGCGCTTGGTGGCCCGGCCTCCATTTCTCCGTCTGTAAAATGGGGCCGTGGCACTTGCCAAGTCAGGAAGGGCCAAGCATGCGGGCAGCACCTGCCCGCGGACGGGACCCTAATAAATGCTCTGGCCTTCCTGCTTCCCCTGTGTTCCAAGAAGCTCAGCAAGTATGTGCATCGATGCTTTTATTTATTTATTTATTTTTTTAAATATATTTTTATCGATGTCAGAGAGGAAGGGAGAGAGAGAGAGAGAGAAACATCC